ACTGATTCAGTGTTTACCTATTGCTCATGGATGATACATGCAAAAACAAGATACGAAAAAAGCCCTGTTCAGCAGTCCTAGTCATGTAACTGGGCAAGTAACTTTAAAAGCTCATTTGCCATTTTATGTGGAAATTGGGCCAAGGTCAGATACACAAGGTGCAGTGATTGACTAGTTTCTGGAAAAAAAATTCACTGAACAATAATACTCTTGTTGCAGTTTTGAAGGAAAAAAATCCTCCAGACTTTTTATCATTTTTTCCATAAATTTCAAGAAATGAAAACCCTTTGTAAATTCTGCTTCCAATAGTTAATTCACTGTGTCTTTTAAAATTTGATACTAAATATCACAAGCTAACCACTTACCTCAAAAGCCAAGTCAAACTGGTTGACATTAAGGTTCTTAAGATTTGTCTCTATGGTATTTCCTGGCTTATGATTGGCAGCCTTGAAAAAAAATACCACTTCAATTCAATCCAAACAAGCCTTGAGAACGAGATTAAGTATAAAACCAATCATGATTACAGGGCTCGAAAAAAGTTCCCGTCTGATTGTCCACAATGAGCAGTCTTTTCTTGCTTTGGCAAGTAACTGTTAAATCTCACTTTCCTAATGGGGAAGGGTCCAGGTAAGTCACCCTCCAAATAAAATTAATCATCAGCTAAAAGTAGCAAGTTGTTAATGCCCTCGGCAAACAAAACAGGAGAGCTGCTTACCCAAAGGATGTGCTGGAATTTTTTCCGAGTGCTATGATTAAATTGAATATCGTAATGAGCCCAAGTTACTAATAATAATACTTTCAACCTTCAACAAGTATCAGACCAAAAGAAAAACACAATTTTGACAGTTTCTCTTTGGTTCAGCTTTATATTATGCTTGTAGAGCCTAACTAGCTAAATAAAGTGTGACCTAGAATAAAGCCTTAGGTGATTTCAAATCAACTGCTAGATTCTCCACATACAAACTGTCTTGTACACGCTTGGGGATGAATGGGAAAATAAGAGTAGGAATCACTAGTATTAATGCCAAATACTATTTAAAGCACCCCTGTCAATTACATTTCAAGTAAACTGTAAATAATACACACAATAAGTTTAACTGTCTCTAAACTTAACCTATATTTAAGAGAATTATTGTATTGTACCTTCTTTGTTTTCTGAGGCCCTTGTTGTTCTTCTCCATTTCCTTCAACAGCATTCTCATCTCCATCTTGAAAGAAAAAAAACACCTTTTGTTTTTGATACCATCTGAGATATTATTGAGATAAAGAATGATATACCAGAGCAAAAAAACAAAAAACAATAACAACAACAACAACCACAAAACAGGAAGACATTATTTTCTGAAAACTACATGTATAACCAAAAACGATTTAAAGCAAAAGAAGGAATTTTCCTCTGGTCAATCTTTTTGGGGCTTTAAAAGGTTTTACTAGTCAGGTGCAATTCTTATGAACCTGTTTAAAGCATTATCTTAGCTATGATCTCTCATTTTCCCTTTGAGTGGTTAGTTAGGTTACTTATGCAATATATTTTACAAAATAATATATTTCCATGTAATAGAACCTTGATTCTCAGCTCTTCCTAAACCTCCTAACATTTTGTAGGCTTGTGCATGGATGGAATCAACTCGACCAGCATAGATTTTAGCACTTGCATCTAATGTGCAACTTGCAACCTGTGGAAATGGGAACAGAAACGTGACACAATTTTAATAACGGGAAAGTTGCAAAGAATACTCAATAGCTGCCAACCATAGGTCATTTTTTTCATTGTGCTTCTTTCGTTAGATGCCTCATGAGAGAAAGAAAAATTGTGGTAAAAATCACTGGATGTAACATTTCAACTGAACAACTGAAGAGTTGGTAAATAACTGAAATACATGAAAAATTACAGACAGCTTCAGCTGGCTGAACAACAAGTAGAGTTTGATGAGTACAAGGTTAGAGTCAATAGGTTTTCAGAGGGCATTTTTAACTCCAACTTTATTTAAAAGACATTTAAAGTAAATAAAATGTGACTGAAGTGTTTAAAGAAGTGCTATATTAGTACCTGAAAGTTGGTCATGTCTCCTTCCTTGACAGTCTTGATTAAGTCTTGCATGTAGTCAATCAGGTGTAGGCCAAAAGCATTCTTTGCATTGATTTTCTACAAAGATGAGAGAGTAATTTTTAACAACCTTATTTTTTGAATATTATCATTCTGTTTCAACTTGCACTTTTACTTGCATTTGTTTTTAAAAAAATAAACAGCATGGGGGAGGTGCTGGAGAAGCTGGTGGTGCATGGAACTGCAGACAAGTGGAATGGGTAACCATGACAACCCTGTGAGTGGCATCCACCCCGGCACTGTCACACTGCTGACCAGTAGCAACTGACATTCTTACCATGGGGGAGGGCAGGGTAAGGAGAAGAAAAACACTTTATAAGCAGAAGCCATGACAAGCAACAGCTCAGTAATACGTATAAACCCCTGTGAAGCAATCAGGGCACCCCTGCATAATTTCTCTCTCTTAACTTAGCCTAAACTTGATAGCCACATTTAAAGGATAGCAAACACACTACAAAGTGCCAGAGTTTAACCCAGTTTAAGTAGTATAAAGCACCATGGAGTACTGCTACTTTACTCTAGACAGGATGCTATGACTTAACAAGGTTACTCAGCACCTCCTTCCCCAGCAGTAATTTGTCCAGATTTAATTATGCACCATTGTGAATACAGACAAAGTGAGCAAAGTTTTTTGGCTAAGAAGACAATGCAAAAGCAAGGTTTGAAACCAGATCTATGGAGACGTAGTTCAAGGTGTGAACCACTCGGCTGCCTCACCTCCATGTGCTTTTGATGGAACTGTGCAATATTAATAAGTGTTTAATTTTTTTATTAACTTACATTTTCAGTTGATAATTTGATGCAATTGGAATACAGGTCTTTCAACTGGGCATTTGTTAAACCATTGGTTCCTCCAGTTTGGCTCCTAAAAGCAAATAGTTGCTAAAACTTTATGCGTCTGGTGTATTGAATATTATATACTGTATTTATTTAACCCTTTAAGCCCTAAGAGAGATCAGCATCAAATTTCTCCTTGTAATTATATCAATGCTTTGTCAAACAGAGTGGTCATGAGAATTAGAGACATGATCACACAAGATGAATTTGTTTGATATGTTATCAACTTCTCCCCACTACTTATGTAGGAAATGAATAGGAGCAACAAATGAGAATTCAAATTTTTTATCTTAGGGTTAAAAGGGTTAAACCACATATACAGTCATGTGAATTAAGTTAACACACATTCTAGTTTATTACTAGTGGCTTCCATGGGAAAGGGTAAAATTAAGAAAATGTGTCGGTTGACTTTGCGTTGATACATCAGTTGACAGCCTGTCTGTCAATTCAAAACATAGATGTCGAGTGCGATCCATTCAACCAAAATTCAGATCGGTCCGACCAGGAAAAGAGGACCACCTCAAAAGGTGGACCAGTTTTTTCAAAACTTTTCCAGTTGGACTGAACTGATCCATTGAGTTTTGGACCAAAATTTCCGGAAATTTTGGTTGAATGGATCGCGCCCATCAACCAGTCTATCAGTATAATGGCTTCTCAGGCACATACTGGTGGGTGTTTGGCTTATATTTATTGGGGAAAATGAAATACAATGGTCAATATATGAACAAAATTTGGGTCAAAATGTCAGTCAATGACAATACTTGATCAGGACATTGACCAAGTTAGTCAACTGGTATTTGACTAATGTAGCTCTGAAGAAATACAGCTGTAGGCCCGAGAGGGTGTTTTAATAGGACAGCTGCGAAATTAACTGGTCTCTATAAACCTCTGTTTTCCCTCGATATAACACAATGTATAAAATAATAATAATAATAATAACAATAATAAAGGGTTTTCTTTTTCCAATTGAGGCAGTACATTATTATGCCACAAATCGAACTTCTACCAACAATCCACAAGGTTTTTCCACTCTGTTTTGTCACTTGACCGGTTACAGACGAATTGAAGCTCCACTCTTTCAATTCTCAACTTAAGGGTATCAGTAGTAAAAGCTAAAAACCTGGGCCGAGTTGTTCAAAGCTGGGTTAAGATAACCCCGGGTTAGTGCGAGATTTGAATTAAGATTTGAAACCTTAAAAAGCATTTCAGTTTTATGTCTTTTTGTCTACAAGTTGATGATTGGAAGCTCTAAAAATAAGAGACAAAATTATCCAGGAAAATGCTTTTGAACACAAGAAAAGGAAACCCGGGTTAAATTAACCCTGGGTTAAGCGCTAATCGGCCTTCGAACAACTCGGCCCTGAGGATTCCAATATTTGCCTAATAGACTTAACCTTAACCTGTTTATTGCCATAGCTACAGCTTGCCCTAGATTATTTTTATTGGCAATAGATCAGTCATCACGAATTCGAGATTTTCAAACAAAGAAAAAGAGGGGGTGTAAGCTTTTTTTTTGGTTGTCCTAGCTTACCGCTCACTGTCAAGGCGACTTGCACTTCTCGGTGTGGCAGGACTTTGAAGGGTCACGGATGTCGCTTTAGAAAGACGTCTTTGCCTCCTCTCGGCGGCGTCATCGTTCTCTGCTAAGTGAGTTGTTGGTGTGTGGGTGCTTGCTAGAACAATCCCGCGTCTTCGTCGTGCATTTGGAGAAATGAAGTCCGGTGTTCGAAATGGAGATGCAACGTCCGCCATTGCTATTTCATGCGATCACCTACAATTCTACACAATTTTGAATCCTGAAAGGAATGAAACAAAATTTAACGGTCAATAAGGAATGAGGACTGTAAATTTTTCTTACATGGTCAAATTTTCAGTGTAGAATGGCAACTAATCGATGTGAAACTGACTGTGTATTTTCTTCCCGATTATAAATCTTCGCGCTCAAAACAACCGTCTCTTCAAATAACCACGTGACCTTATTTGCACCCCTCCCCGCTGGAAATTCACTTTGTCCTCTCTCAAGTCGCCCTTACTCAACCCTTACTCAAGCCTCAAGATGGCTGGCTTTGTGACTGCAAACAGATGGGCAACTGGAGTAGAAACTCATAAAACTTCGGAAGGAAGAATATTATGCACAGGGGTTGGATGTGTTGGATGTTTCCCTGAAGTCTTTTCATCAGAAGCTAGTGAACTTGGCGTCTGCGATGTTGACTTGACGAGTGGTATTTTAGGTCTCCGACCTTTCTTGGACGAAGAAAATTCCCGAGAAAGCTTGTACCTGAATCCAAAGAACTTTTCGAGGAGGCAAAAGAAATTGAGAACAAGGAGAAAGAGACAGAAAAGAAAAATAGATGTCAAGTACGGGTTGTCTGACAAAGGACAAGATTCACAAGCTGGGAAACAGGAATTTTCTTTGGACAAACCGCAAAATAGTTCATCTGTTGCTACTCAAACGGAATTGTCCGACATGGGAATTGAGGCAGAGACTTTAACATTAGAAGTCGTGAAGACGGGATCCGAACAAAATTTGCCTTCGTTTAAAAATGATAGGAAGGTAGACGAAGAAGGAATCCCGGGTGCTAATGAAAAGCAAAATAAAGTTAATTCCGCCTTTGTCGAGGTTGACGACAACGTAAACAAAACACAGAGGAATTCAGAAAGTTTGTTTGACCAGCAATCATCGCGCTCAAGACTTGGGAAAATTTTAGATAAAATGTATATTGTAAGCAAGAAAGAAATTGCCCTAAGCTCATGCGATAATTTAATTAACGAAGGTGACTGCAATAGCGATCCGATATTGCAAGATGCTAGTTCTTTTGGAGAAGACGCCGTGTGCTTCTTTTTTGCGCTCGAGTACTACAATAGTCAACGAATTTTACCGCACTTTAGGGTTATGGAGATCATTGATGCGTTGAGTACAGTTGTTGCTTTGAAGGACATCAAGTGTGTTCAAAGAATTTCTGGGCGATGGCAGATCGTTTTAAAAAGCCGGAAGTACAATAAGCTTCTGAGAAACTGTGGTTTAAAGCTGAGGGGTCGTGTTTATGAACTTGTTGATGATGTTGATTGTTATTTTGACGTTGTTCACTGAAAGATTTTAAGATCTTTGTATTGGTCTTATTTACTACTCTGAGGAAAAGCTTTCTCCGTTGAGAGTGACATAATGGAAAAGGTATGGAGGAGAAATGGCAACTACTGTAATCAACAAAACTGTTTAAACAACTGTTCAAACCTTAATGACTTAAGAGTCACAAGATTCAGTTGTTTGAACAGAGTGACCAGCATCTATTTTCTCCTAACAATGTCAATACATAATCAAGAGTAAAGGTTTTGAGAATTATCAAAGTGATCACAAATGGGAAAGTGATTTGATCTGATCTTTTATCAAATTCTCTTAACTAATTCTTTGAGGAAATGTATTGAGATCAGTCTGGAGAATTTTAATGAGAATATTAGGGTTTAAAAGTGTTAATACTGTATGCAAGATGGCCCAGCTAAGCATTATTGCATGTTGCTTCAAAGGATAGCAGTTCATTAGAGCTCCTAGAGAAATGTTTGCAATCTAATAAAAGTGCCTGAAAAAGCTCCTGTTGAGTTCTGTTGAGATTTCTGCCACTCTCTCAGTCCTCTGCGAGAAGAGAGTTTGCTCGGGAAGGGAGCGCAGGCTCATTTTCCAAACAGCACATGGCAGTTAAGCCTCGGGTGCAAATTTGCTATGAAGCCTTAGGTACAAATTTGCTATGACGTTCTTTTCAAACAATGAAAAATTTTACACAATAATCTATTACTTTTTTAATAATACATTTGTATCAGAAATACAAACTATGCCAAGATTATGTACATGGTGTATAAGCATCATAAATCAGCATTTACAAGGAACAAATTTGTTTGATAAGTTTCAAATGAAACCAACACCCCACCCTGCCCCACACCTGAAATGACTTATTATTATACAATTCAGACAACAGTAATAATTATTAACAATTTCAACAAAAACTACACCTAAGTAAACATACAGATTATCTACATTGTGTCAATCCATACATAGATTGGAGTTATGCCCGAAGAAAACACAAAGCACTACACAGAACACAACGCTGAGAATAATTTATAAAATAATGCAAACTTTGTTTCTGAAAGCACAGTAAACCCAACCCAGAATAAACCTGTAGGTAACAACTGGGGCGGATCCAGGATTTGACGAAGGGGGGTTCGGATAAACACCCGCCGAAGGCGGTAGCCCCTAGGGGGGTCGGGGGGCATGCTCCCCCGGAAAATTTTTAATTTTAGGGCCTCTGAAATGCGATTTCTAGCGTTTTTAGGGGCAATTTGAAGTGGCTTAATTGCTCTAAAGTCACCTCCATTTTTGTGCTAACTACAGTAGCGTGGCTTTACGCAATGCCGGAATTGGAATGATTGGCAGATTTGGCATAAACTGTCAATTTTGGCGGGACGTGTAAGCGTTAATAAGCAGTAATTTTATAACTCAAGCGGACGTACTAGAGGCCATTTTCAACTAGGCACAAATTTGTCTTGTTTTTGTTGCTGTTTTCGCGTACAAAGACACAAAGAAATATCATTTTCAAAATATATATTTATTAGCTGAGTTGGTTCACTTTTTTTATCCACGCATTTGTTATACGTTTTTAGGTTCAGTTTAGGGGGTTGGACCGAACCACCCGAACCACCCCTAGATCCGCCCCAGTAACATGTACAAAGAATGATTTAAGCCTGCTTAGCTTTAACTGGCCTTAAAAAAATAATCAGAGAAGAGCCTTGGAAGCCAGTCTTACTTGCCGGGAAACTTTTCGAGCCCGACGTCAAATTTTAAAATCAAAACCTGTGGAATAGTGGCAGAGTTCCTAGCTCATAAACCAATCAAATTTGTTTCATTGACTGATAGTTTCATTGTATTATTTAGATAACCTTATGAGACTGATAACAAAGTCTCCCAAGCGTTTGTGTACACCCTTGCAACAAAAAATCAGCACAGAAAGGAAGCCACAAAGTACTTGTGACCATACAAGGATATTTTGATAACTTTCAGGGTAAAACGGCATTGTATACTTAAAAATCACTGTGAGTCTAATCCATTAGTAATAGGAATAGGCACAGTACACAAACAACTTGGGTAAAGGCTTATAACTAACAAATGCATGATAAACTCCAAAGAAAACTATATATTCCCGAAGGGAAGGATCAATTTCATAAAGTTAAACCTTCATTCACTGCAGAGCTGTTTTACCAACCAGGGCTGGGTTGTTCAAAGTTGGGTTAAGATAACCCAGGGTTAGTGCAAAATTTGAATTCAAATTTGAAGGTTTAAAAAGCAAATTAAGTTTTACTCTTTGTCTACAATTTGATGACTGGATGCTCTAAAAAGAATACTGAAAATTCTCGGAGAACTTGCTTTTGAGGAAAAGAAAAGGAAGCCTGGATTAAAATTTAACCCCGGGTTAGCGCTAATTGGCCTTTGAACAACTGGGCCCAGGTCATTATTTTGCTTTAAGCAAACATTTGTTTGATGTATAAAGGTTGCTACCAGAGCAAGACAGTCCATGAATTTTAAATTCGAAACCTACATAATGTCAATTTTCATAACTAGGTAATTAGCACCCCAAAACAAACATTAAATATTGAGTGCAATACTAAATCATGGATATTAGCAGTAGATTTGTAAAGAGCTACAATTCCTTAGAATAGTAAAAACTCTTTATAACCGACTTATTGAATGAAATGAAAGATCAAGTATTGTCGAAGGAAAAGGTTAAATTACAATGAAAAATGAATGAACATTTAGTTGTTTCGGATGGTTCAAGGGGAGAAATGTCCATGACACATTTTCGTGTCCTCTGTTATTTTCAGCAAAGCAAAACATTGGTTTTTTAACCTCTGCTCCCCTGTAGTAGTAGAAGTATTGTTTTCTCCCACACATTTTCTAATGACCAACCTACTCCAGATAGCTTAATAAAGAGAAAATACAATACCTAAGTATCTACAAGTAGTCCTGCCCAAACACTGTAATTACATCAGATGAAGTATTTACAGCTACCTTGACTTTAAGAATATTTTTGTATATACAAAGTTGCAAGGAAGTCATGTAAACAGAAAAATCTGCTTCCTAGAAAGTAATTTATAGGCTATTTTAACACCCCTAGGGCAGGGTGGTGTGTTGCTGGCTCTTTGGATTTGTGTCGGAATTGAGGAAATCCCACATTAGAATAGTGTCGTCATGAGAACTACTGACTATCTGAAAATCATCAAACTGCAGTCTGAAAACTCTGCCTTGATGTTCCTGTTAAATAATCGAAACAAAACTATCAATAATTGTTTAGTGACACATGACAGGTTTGTTAGGAGTAGAAAAAGACAGGACAGATCATCTGCCACGTCTTCCAAACCTAGTGTATCAACACCATTAACTATTATGGCTTGGATGAAGTACTTACATTCTTGGTGACTTAGGGCCCACACAGGGGGAGGGGCTGAGGGGGCCCGGGCTCCCCCACCCCTCACTTTTTGAAAAATAAATAAATAAAATTAAGTACAGTGGAACCTCAATATAACGAAGGACAAAGGGACTGGCAAAATATGTTTGTTATAACAAGGTTTGTTAACTTATATCAAGGTTCTTTTTCATATTGTCTTATATTTTATTATTGCTGGAGTCAAAAAAAGTTTGTTAGACCGAGGACTTCGTTTTAAAGAGGTGCCACTGTAATATACATTTTCATATAAATAGTATCTTTGTAGGTATAATAATCTTCCAGCATCAATATTTATTAATTTATTGGTCTTTTTCAATCCTAGATCTGATGCGTAGTAAGCTTCAATCTTTACAAAACTGCACTTAGTCCTAGACTTCTGCATTTTCAAACCAGCAAGGCTATGTATGGGAATGGAGTCTTTTTTGATGGAGGTTCTCGATTAAATCTGAAGACTAGTCAACAAGAACTACGGTTTCAGTAGCTTGACTCCGCTCAACAATGACTCAAGAAAAGTTCAGTAATCTGACAGTTCCAAACAGCCACAAAGAGAGAACAGCCAAATTTAGCCCCCCCACCCACTTCAAAAGAGGTGGTCACCGGCCCCTGCACTTTAAAAACTGCTCTCTGCAGGCCCTGTGACTCAAACCCGCTAAAGACAGCATTTAAATTTTTGGTTTTGTAGTACAAGCCATTTCATGATCTTTTTTTTGTCTTGAGATTTCCAGTTTTAGTTTCCACAGTGGTTCATAAATTTGGGATGTGTGATATTGGTATTTAAAAATTCAAATCCACCCTACAAATAGTCATTAGGAATTCCAAGGCTTATCGGTGAGGGGGTCTTAAAGGCTAAAATTTTTCAAGGAAAGTCTGAAGTTAAAATAGAATTTCCAGAGGGGTGGGAGCAGTAGCTCCAGACAAAAACCCCTCCATGGGAGTAGTAGGGATATTTTCTTAAAAACAAGTTTAGTGAATGCTTCTAATTTGAGAAAGTGTCAACTTGGACCTGATGTTTGAGGTAAAATGTGATTCTAAACCATTGAATATAATACCACATACCACAAGTGTTCTCAAACACAATGTTCCTGCCGGGGCTCTTGGATCTAGAGCAGCTTGAAGGTCCCACACTTTGATTTTCCTTTTATGAAATTAAACAATAATATTTGTTATTACTTATAATATTATTTTAATAATATTCTGTAAACAATCAAACATCAGCATGTGCTACAAGTGTGCATAATGCTTTCTATTTTACTCCTTTTTATGACAGTATAAATTTTTACTACACACCACCAAGGGAAGTGTGGACACTGCAGATGTCTTATAGAGACATTTATAAAACATTTATAACTAAGATAGTATGCATGCTCTGATTGGCCAAGAGGTGTGTTTGCATGAGAGTATGTAAACATGGTTGTGACATCAAGATGTTTTGCTTTTTGCATGTTAATCACACAAGCACGAATTTGAAAAAGTTTTTGAGTTCAAAACCCGACAAGTTTATTTTATTCACCCATTCCCTCATCAGTTAACACTTGAAACAAACATGCAGTGTCACTGTCTTTTTGCCTAAGCTGATACTTTAAGCAAGAAAAATCCGTATTTTGGAAATCATCTTATTTGTAAAACAAGAGCTGATTACGCGTGCAAGACTTCGCGACTGTTAAGAATTTCTCTTTTAATCAGTGCCACAACAAAGAGTTGCATTTTTTCTCAGGGAAGTTGATTTATAAAAGCAATTGAAAACTTTTTTCCTGTATTTGCATAGCCTGATATAAACACTTGAGGGGTTGGGAGAATTCTTGACAGTAATCCGAACCCTCGACTTCATCGCAGGGTTTACATAACAAACATGGAAAATGTTTTCTACTGCTTAAATAGGAGGACACGCCAACAGTTTAACAGTCAGATGAAACTGAATCAAGCTTTAAACCAGTCCCAATTGTAGCAAATGGCATTGTCCACCAAGTATCACCAACATTTTTGAGAAGTCGAAAGGAATTTACAAGTTAAAGTTTTGTTTTTGTAATTTGGTAAACATCTGATCAATATCACATACTAGGTTATTAATAGAAGTTATTTTTCTGTTGCATACAAGTTATGACTGTGAAAGTATTTTGTGAAGAGATTTCCAAGGTTATTGCCCCCCCAGGGTTCCAGCCTAGAGGCCGGATCCCGAGGAGGCACCCTAAATTCCCTTGGGTAGAGAAGTATCAATTTTTCATTGTATTCATTTTGGTAATATATGAAATCTTCTCGATCTGAAGAAACTAGGCACGCAACATGGTCGTGGTTAATTTTTCAGCATGTTTTCAGGGCAGTCTTAGGTAATTCTGATTCAGCAAGCATGCAGGTGGTATAGGAAAATTCTGGAAACATGTTGTTGACCAGTCAGCATTAGATTCCATCCTCCAGAACTACCTTCCCCTTTTAGCTACACTTATACATGAAAATTCTAAGTCTCTTAAAATTCTACTCTTCTAATCTTTTCCTAAGTTTAAGTCCAAAAAAAAGGAGATTGAAGGTGGCATAAGCACGATTTGAGAATCACATACAAACACAGAGTACCTCACAATGATTTCCACAACAATGTTGCCAAGCAAAAAATTCTTTAAAGCTTTACCACAAAGTTTTGGGACTGCATATACTTCCAGAGTTTACTTATGAAACAATCTGACCACATTTTAAACTCAGCCCCTTTGTTACTGAGATAAATTACATGTCTACTAAAAAAGAATACTCTGTACATGCAGTCTTTCTGTGGTCTTAAAAAAATGGTAGAAATTCCTTTCAGTTCCCTTACCCATCATAAGCACCACTAACTATCCTTCTGTTGTCAAACCGAATACATCTGCAAAACAAGATGGTGACATATAAGAACTCTGCTAACTAGAGTACCCATCACAGGCATTGATATCCCATTCCATTCTTTTAATTGACAATGGAAAGCAAAGCACAATGCTGTAACCAACCCTCAACAAAAACAAAGCACTACATTATTACAGTAGTTGGCTGGAAAACTGAACATTTCTGGGCAGAATTTTCTTGAATAAAGTATAGGAAAAACATTTTCAAAAAATATTTTCATCATACAATAATATTGATACAGTGAAAGAAATTGTCACAGAAAAACATAGAATGTGTTTCCAAGATGCTGTGACTGAGGGTAATTTAACCCCCTTAACTGTATACATACTGTATACATACTGGTAATGATTTGATAATAAAATTAGAGAGCGAGAAAGAAGAGTGTTAATTTATGAGAAATAACTTGTGGTTTACAGCCCAACTTCTGATGTAGGATGCCATCCAGCATTCTGGCCTCTTTAATAGTTAACATCCATGTTGTTTTATTGGTACACTGAGGATACAATACATAAAAACAGTCTCCATTTGAAAGATAAAGGTACAGAAATTAAAGAAATCCTAAGTTAAGCACACAATTCAAAAACCACTTGTTACCTAATTGGCTAAAAAATATTTATTACCTGACTAATTCTTCATGCCCTTCTAAGACTCTGAGACAGGCTCCACATTCAATGTCCCATAATCTATCACAAGATACACTCATTACAATTAGGGAGTGGCTTTACTGTTTGTACCCAGAAAAAAAGGTGTAGAGAAAGATCAAGATATCCTTCTGTTTCCATTAATTTTATGAGCAGCAGAAACAGTAAATTTGATTATGCCTCTGAAAAAATGTAACTCAAAAATGGTTAAAACAAAAAATTAATAGCACCATTCAAAAGAACTGAAAGTGGAAAATGTTTCATTCAAATGATGACACTATCATTGAATTCTGTCCATGGATTCAGAAGAGAGAGACATTTTTTTAAAATGACTTCTCCACTACATAATAATAGTTACTCTACATAACTGACTCTTCAGAAGCACAAAATATTTTGACTTTTCTAAAAACCAGGTGAGTACGTAAGGAAAGTTTATTTTTCATACATAATAAATTGCCATTTTAAAGGGGTTGTACCATGGCTGTCTGCTTCATTTTCTTTATAATGCCAATTACACGTCCCTAATCGTGGAACTTGAGAAATTACTTGAGAATGACAAACTCACAGCTTTGAGTCCAAAAAAATGTCTTCCAAGCATTTTATCAACACAACAAACAAAAAATGAAATTTGAAAAACTGTTGGGCTAACAAGTTTTCAAAAAACACAATTTCAATCCAATTCAATTTCCTTCTCGTTTGTCCATCTGTGCCTCCATTGGCATTTGCTGCACTATTTATATCTCCTTCTCATGTTTTGTACAGTTACCTGTACATGTTGGTAGTTCTCACTATTTGAACTTTGATAAATTTTGTGACAGAGCTCCTTTAATATTCACAGCTGCTATATATTAGTCTTACCTAATTGTATTATCTGAAGAACCGCTAACTACCAGTCGATCCCTGTACTGTAAGCAGGCTATGCCACGTTTGTGTCCATTGAGGGTTCTGACAAACTCACAGGTGGAAGTACTCCACACCTAAAGATAAACAGAATTCATTATAGTTCCCTTACGATTTGACTAAAGTTTTAGGAGCCTTAGGAGCCTTCATCTCAACGTTTTTACCAAGTGATTGTGTGGATCACACAACATCTAATCAAACATGAAATGTAGTATCATGGTTGTTTCAATAATTCTCATTTTTACAGATTTCACTTTGTCAGATCACCTTGTAGAACTTGCTACAAGTTGACATCAGGAGTTTCTTAGTAAACAGACTGAGCTTTTTAGGCCACCAAGCGAAAGCAGACTTGTCTTGCTTGAAGGGTTTCCATTTGCCTTTTTGGCAAAAAAAATGGGGAGTGGCATGACTTGCGTTTAGGGTTTTAGGGGACATTTGTGAGTCCTTTCCACTCCGACAAAAACAATCAAACGCGTGGGGGGGAGGGGGGGGAAGCCTATAAAATAGCTACATATATGAATTAAGTTCCACGTAACATAAATTGCTCAATTTACTCTACTCGACGAGAAGGATCAAATATGTTGCCTATGGAAACCAATGGATGCCTAACTGCTCTGACCTTCATAATTTTAGTTTTGAACAAGGACATAGCACTATCTGCCCTTTGAACAAATGGAGCCTGGTCTCAAGCTTTTTTTAAAGTGTTAAACAGTGAAGGGCTGGTCTGAAACATGGACTTAAGTAGATTGTACCTTAATTGTTCTATCTCCAGAGGCTGACACAATGTATTTGTCATCAAAGTCGACGACATTGACAGCAGCTCTGTGTCCAACTAGCACTCTCCTGAGGTTGATGTCCGTTGGTGATTGCATATCCCACACAGCTATGGAGCGATCCTGAACAAAAAAAATTCCAAGGAAACATTTTTATTTTCAACAAAAGTCTACACGAGTGATTTTTATCCAGTTATTTTATCAACTAACTTACTTCCTAAGGAAATGTGGAAGAATCTAAGACCAGCAAAGACAGTGAGTTCTGAAAAACTGAACCGGTGACTTTCTTAGCCCTTTACCACACAGCACTCTACAACAACTGTGCATAATGCTGTAGTCTGTTTTAACATTATTCATTTCAACTTTTTATTCACTACTAATGGAAGAAGTGTGATCTAATTTCTTCCTTGGCTCAGTTATTTTTCATTGCTTTTGCTTGGCACTTAATTAAAACCATCATTCTGTTGGAAATATTATGCATTAACATTAATTACATAATTAATAAGACTTTGTGGGAGGAGAACCTGCTATATCCAAATCAGCTAAACAGACTAAAACGAGCTGTAAAAAAATTGCATTGCCGAAAATCACAGACCAAACTGCTTGTTCATAGAAGCTTCTACCACAATGGGCCAAAAGTAATTAAGGCTGGTTTTCACTAGCGACGGAGTTGGAGTCAGAGTTGGAGTCGTAATCAGAAGTGTAGAGCTCATAATCTAGTGAAAACAGCGTTCCGATTCTGGTTATGATCTAGTGAAAACCAGATTGTCGGAGTCAAAAGCAGAAATGAAAGAACTTAACCAATCACAAAGCGTGGGAATGGGTATAACTGTTAAGATTGGACATTAACATTTGGGTCCATTTATTACACTTGTGCCTTTTACAGCTTCCCAACAAATATTCCTCAACTGGTTTTCTCCTCATCAGTAACAATTGAGTCAGTTCCTGCTCTTGGTCCTGGGGCCTGTTTCTTGAAAGCCCCAATAACTTTTCATCCCCAAAATGCTGTTCCGTGTTTTTTGTGTTTGCATTCAAGATCAAGGTTCCAATAATTTTGAAAATGATATAATAAATTTATCAGTTAACAAAGCAAAACTGACTGGTTTGTGAGCTAGGAACTGAGCTACTATTCAACAGATTTTGATTTTGAAATTTGCCTTTGGGCCTGAAAAGTTTCCGGGCCTTTTGAGAAACGGGCCCCTGGTCCCTGGTCCTGTCCCTCACCTTTATTATAAAGTTGGATACTGCTTTACAGTCATGCCAGACTGTCAAGCATACTCCCATAGGTGCCATTAACAAATCAGTTACTTGAAAGATGAATTCGTTAGCTGCAGACATTATAAAATTCAAATCTGCTTTCCTGCATCTGTAATGAGCAGTGAGTTTTTTACAATAACCTCTTTGTATTCAGTCAATAACAAATTCATTAATGGAACCTTTGGGAGTACACTTGACCTGGCCGGACTGTAATACATGCCCTACAATGCACGATCCAACAGTGTCCTTCTCATAAAGAGTGCTGACTGCGTACTATATAAGAAATTATTGGATCAATTTAGGTTCCAGGGAAACTGCCCACCTACCCCTCCCCTAAGCCAACATTTTGCCCTAAGTGAGAAGTAAGGGATAATGTTGGCTAAGGGGAAGGGGTAGGTGGGCAGTTTCCCAGAAACCTAAATAGATCAAAATTATTTACCTTCGAACATGTCACCATCATGCCATCTTGAAATCTCAGATGAAGGACAGCCTCACAGTGATGGATTAAAGTGTTTAGCATTTCACCAGTGTGAACATTCCATACCCTGCAGAAGAAATTGTCCACTCATTTAACAGTTAATCCTGAGTCTGACTCCTTTTCTCTGTAGATTCTTGTAAAAGGTTAAAAAGAAGAACTAACATAGATGGGGTGCATGAAGAAAGCCCCATAAACTTATCTGACCAGCTGCTAGATTCTCCTTTTGAATTGGGTTAAGTTAAGGGAGAATTTAAGGTAAAATCAGGAGTCATTGTCTTTTTTAATGCATATTACTCTCTTGTTACCAAATTTTATGACCACCTTTCACTAAAAACAATGTAGATACTTTATTAGCACCATGCTGATAGAAATAACAAAAAAAATTATTAAGTACCCTGGAGCACCTTTTGCTTTTGCAAACATTACCTAACAGTGGAATCACTTGAACCAGTGACAGTAACATTCTCGTCATATTGAAGACAAAGAACGGAGCCAGTATGGCCAGTTAAAACTTTGACACATTCTAATGTGTTTTTGTCCCATATCTAAAATGAAAACAGAAACAAATTATTGACTTAGTACTGACAGCTGAATTTGTCTATGACAACTACTGGTTAAAAATAACAGGGACAAATGCAGAAAAGTCTTGCCGAAGGACAAGAAACTATGATGCTACGCAAAGGTGCTGCCGTTGAACTTTGAAACTGATGTTGGATCTTGTGGTTAACAAAGTTGTTATGACAAGAATACATTTTACCATAACTTCAAAGTGTTATCCATGGTACAGTTAGCCTGCAAATGATCATGCTCTCCCTTCATATATCTCTACTTTTTTGCCTTTTGTGGGAAGGAAGGCACGATACATGTACATCTATTTACCAGATAACCAACCAGAAACTGGAAGTATTTCTGACAGGTCAACATTTTTGTTCTTATTGGCTGGAGATTAGGTTTGACATCCCACAGGATTCCCAGGTGTTTGAATGAAACATAACTGATTCGCATAGTTAAGATCATCTCTCAGGCTTAAGTTTTGTTTTCTCGTTTGTGTGGCAGAAAAAAAATATTGAATTTACCTCAATCCAGCTGATACATGTATTACTCCATCAGAGAAATAGGATTGTGCTAGTTTTTCAAAGAAATGATAATTGAACATAGCCACTGTTTTGATTTCCCCAAGCACAAAAATATTTGGTAGCACATTAAATGTTTTACACGCATTAAACACAGGTCAACCAGATGTTAATTTTTTAAAAGCGGGGGGTGGTTGGCAGCTCGTGCAAAATATGTAAAGATCAGGTGTTCCTTTTTCCCTCTACAGCTTCTAACAAAAAACCTGATCGGAGGATATGGTACAGTACACACAGTGAGTTACTTCAACGCCGTGTTAAAAATTATGGAACCAAGGGTAGAGAGTTTGAGCAATGATTGGCAGTGTTGGTGCGAACATCACAGTACAATGGCATTTGCTACTGGTTCACATGGTCAAGCTGGAGTGGGCACTGCCTTGTAGCCTTATTACATGCACTGATGCAGCACATACCTTAATTGTGTTATCTCTAAGACCACTAACTATTTTGTTGTCATCATACTGCAAGCAGTAAACACCTTTGCTATTCTCACTGCGACAGTAGATACGATGAAGAGAATGACGGCCACAACGCCAATTGGTATCAATTGCCTAAAAAACATTAATGAAAAAAATTAGCTCTGGCAATTGTAGTTCAATTATTATTTTTGCCTGCAATTTGATGATTAGATACACTAAAAAGGAGATAAAAAATTATCCAAGAAATTGCTTTTGAACAACAACATCAAAAGAAAAACTGGATTAAAACTTAACCCCAGGTTAGCACTAATTGGCCTCCGAACAACTGGTCCTGTTTTCACTGAAGCAATAATGTGTTTTAAAGTTTCTGTGTTACTGCTTACATTTTTACAGTTTTAATTTTTATTTGAAACAAAGACAAATGCCATCTAACATATAAGGCCAAATTTCTGAAGAATAACGTAAGCAACCCATCTCAACTCATAAAAATCAAAAGTGCGGTTCCAGAAAATATCCATACCCCCCCCCCACCCCACGGAAGACCATTGGAAATTCCGAGGGGGAAGGGGGGGGGGTTCAAAGGCAGTAATTTCTGAGGGGTAGGGGGGGGGGGGGTTTAAAAAAAAAAACAAACCCAATAAAAAAAAAAAGCAAAATTTCTGAAAAAAAACGTCAACACCCCCCCCCAACCCAAAAAAAACAAAAAGGGGGTTCCAAAAAAAATCCCCCCCCCCCCCCCCCCCCCCGGAAGACCATTGGAAATTCCGGGGGGGAAGGGGGGGGGGTTCAAAGGCAGTAATTTCTGGGGGGTAGGGGGGGGGGGGGTTCATGGGAAACTTTTTTCCAAAGGGTGACGGACCACGTGCAAAACATTGAAAGCAATGTACGATCGATCAGAAGCACAAAAACATACCTAGGTACGTTGTTTTGAAACAAAAGTCAGTACTCCTAGCCATTTAGATGAGGTTAACATCATTAGCTTTAATGTTTCTGTTTTTCTTTGAGTTAGCTAGTGCTACAATGTCCAGTAGAATGATGTGTCTTTGGAACGAAGTCGAACCAATTTAAAATGGCGGACATAACTGGATCGGAGTCTTCTCTTCGTCGTGTTTTTGTCCGACCAACATTAAAGTGCTTTCACTTCTGTTCACTGAGTGTCTCTTTTCTCTACCTTCACATGCAGGAAACACGTTTTTGATAGGTTTCATGTTTTACCAGTGTTTATTGGGGGCAGTAACTCATAAACAATGCCATTAGACGAGAGTACTTTCGTTCCCATTTCTTGCTCAACCTTCACAAGGCCCGGCTACCTGGCCAGTAAATCTTGACAATGTTCACGAAACCTAGCGCGTTGGCATGTGTTAGTGAAGTTTTCGGCCCTTAAATAACAATCAACCTGAAGAAACTGACAAAATTTGTAGCAAAATAAACAGCCATAAAGGAACCTTGTAAGTTTCTGGGGTTTTTTTGCTATCATTTGCAAAGTTGTTTAAGCGGGTGAAACGTAAGTTGTCTTCATAACGTTCGCGTCGGAATATAAAGCCCAAAAATGTAGCACAATCGACGTTAAAGCTTTGCAACCCAAATGTTTAAGCTTATAAGCTTGCATAAAAACAAGACAGATATAATATTATTTGCAAAAGTGATGGCGAAGAAGCTAAAAGTTTGGCTGAATAATAAGCATAACAAATATTTACACTGCACTGTTGTAATAACGTTCTACACCATATTTTCGCAACTGAGTTAGTATTCACTTTCTTTGTTTTTAAGTACTAAAACCACTTTGAATTTCCAAAGGATGGTAAGCGAAGTCCCCGTTTGAAAATTCTGGGAATTCCTGGGGGGAGGGGGAGGGGTCTTAAAGACCCCCTGGAATGGAAAATCCTGGGGGGTGGGGGTGTGCAAATCAAAGAGTCTTCCGTGGTGGAGGTATGGATATTTTCTGGAACCACACAATATGAACCCCAGACACTAATTTGAGCATCAATAGTAACTAACCAGGTAAGAAATAAGGAAAATTAAGAAAAAAAATTGATGTAAGTGACTAAGGTTTTATCGATTAGGTCATGCTACACAAACAATGATTGTTAGAAATAGGTTAACTGTACCTCAAGGTCCTCATTAATTTTTGGAAAAAGCCTTCTAAAGAAAAGATGTCGAGGAGGGTCTGCGACTTGTGCTTTGAACAAATACTGTCCCCTAACAGAGAGAGAAAAATGGAATTTGTTATTCATGAGTTAACACATGCCAACATAAGCCTGTAATTGGCATGTGAGCTAAGACATTGCCTATGATTATTCAAAAACAGTCATCAGCAGCATACCGGTACATACATGTAGGACATTATCGACAAGAAGGGTCAACTAAATACTGCAAGAAAAATACTTTTTATTGAATCACTGTCACCAGCTGTGAATGTAAATCTATCAAGGAAATCTAAACATAATTGTCTAAGGTTTGCAGTGTGTGCCATCATTTTGATTGGCACTGAGGACAATGCTTGTCCTTTGGCCAGTACAGACAGTAACGTACCTAAATTGCCCATTTAGATGAGCAAATTCTCAATTCTTAATTGGTGACAAGAATTCTCCCATCCTTAGTCATTTATAAGAAAGGTATTTTCTTTGTTGAAGTCTCTATTTTATCCAATCCTTTTCCCTTTGAGTCGTTCTGTACAAGTCAGATTAAGATGGAATCCATCGGGAAATTGAGACATTTTAATTTTCAGTGGATAAAAACCTCGTACAGAATAGTTTAAAGTATAGTCCATTCTTTTTTTACATTTTTCAAGGGCTATAGATATAATTACATGTACTAATAGTTACCGTATCTGTAATAACACCAAAGACAATTTCTTATGGGAGCCCAAGAAAATGAATTTCAAATTTCACAGGAATTGTGAAAACTCAGGTAAAATTTATTGTGTAAGATTTCATTTTGGTCCATTTTGTGAAATTTGAAATTTTAATGGCTCTAAGAAAGTGAAGAAAGCCTTATTTTCATCTTATCCCAATAATATTACCATCCTCTCCTCTCTGACAACCCTCTCCATAATGGATCTGTTCGGACTTTTCTTTCGATAAGCTTCTTCCATAGCATTCCATCAGAAATTACTCTGTTCCACTCTTTACAAACTACCTCTGCTGCACAGAGAGACTTGGCATCCAAAAAGGATAAGATATTTTCAGCTATATGGTCCAACCCCTTAGCTGTCAAACAACAACAAAAAATAGGTACATTATTTTTTAGTGAACCTTCTACACAATGATAAATGAATGAAGCGGTTATATTCCAGTGGGGGAGGTGGGGGGGGGGGGGGGGGCGGCCAAGATTTTAAGGGGGGGGGAGGGGTTTTTGGGCGTGTAAATTTTTTCTCCAGTTTTTTTGGGGCGTCTTGTTTTGTGTTTGTAAATATTTTAATATTTTTTTTGCTACCACACACCCCCCGCAGAGAGAGGGTGAGTAGAAAGAAAAAATAAAAGAACTTTTGTTACATATATTCCCAACCCCTACAGTAAAGAACAAAAAAAAAAAAAGTTATATTTTTTTTTTTTGTACCTTATCCAGAAAAAGAGTGGAAGTGGGGGGTGTGTTGGGGGGGGGGGGGGGGGGGGGGGGGGGGGGGGGGGGCTGCTCCAGATTTCAAGTGAAGGTCAAGTTTTTTTGGACTTGAAATTTTTGATTCCAGTATTTTTGGGTGCCATTCTGTGACTTTCGTAAATGTTAGATAATTCTGTTAATAGAACTGTCAAATGGGTATGCCCACCCTCTCCTCTTCATTCTCACCCCCAGAACTGCAAGCACCATACAGTGTAGGTAGATTGATCAACAGCTCTGCAGTGCTTGACACTAACTTTGTTCAGACACTAGGCAATGGACTGGTAAGTGAAATAAATCACTAGCCCATAAGAAGAAGCCACTGATCCTGAAAAAAATACCCAAGAGGTTGGAACCATTCTTCCTGCATCAAAAGCAGAGTTTGAAAGATCTCTTACCCAGGTCCCTACTTTATTGAGTGACATGAAAGTGAGGACATACATTCCATTTCCAACATGGCATCCATTTTGCGGTTCAATTGTACGATACCTCCTCGATATGGATAGATAGTCCTTTGGTTTACATTTAATACTTTTAAAAAAAGATATAGAAACTATGATGAAGCATTTTAGAAAAAGAACTTCCCAAGTTACAGAGTTGTAGAAATTTTATTTTGTCCACCAAACTATGTGTAACTGGTCAAGGGGCTAGGAAGAGCACATTTTTACTAGCCCAACGTGAAGTTTCACTAGTCCTGGACAAGTGGACTACTGTTAGTGTTGAGCAATGCTCTGGGTGGGGCCAAAGCAGGATGTCTGCAGAACATGGTTTATTTTTGGCTTTCTGCGCAGCCTCTACTTCATAGCTTAAAAAGAAGTATATTAGATTCATAAAGCACTTTTTTCGCCTTGTGGCTTGAAAGAATGAAATACACAACATGTAAAGCTTGGTTTTATTATTATTGAGTTGTATTCACTCTGATATTTATGTGTGTACATTGACTGGAATATGGGTACAAATCAACTGAATACTGGGTATGAATCAATTGAAATCTGAGTATGAATTCACTGGGTACGAATTGACTTGGGTACCACACAACCAGTTTATGTGCATTGCCCTGGTCCTACCCAGAGTTCTCAGTCTGTGACTCTGACCACAAGGATTGCAGCTTCCGGGGTGAGAACATCCCCTCAGTTAGGGACAAGACATATAGGCACAGTACAGACACCCAAAGAATGGAAATTTCACCCCTAAGTTATTTTACCCCAGTTACTTAGCCCGCTATTTTAGAGTGAGTTTGTATTGATTTATGGCTTATAGAACAAGGAATGTTACATTAAAATTTTGAAGTGTGCTTGTTTCGTTTTATGGCTTATACATTTGTAGAATAAGGAACAATATATTTGGAGCATGCTAAATGACTTGAAAACAGGGGGGTAAGTAACCGGGGCAAAATGACTTAAGGGCGAAATGATCAGTTACCAATGTGGACAGCAGCTAAAATCTCAGCAAAAATAAATTACACACACCTGAATGTATAAACTACTGCTACTACTACATGTACTACAGACTTTCACTGATAAGGACACTAACTTCAGGGTGTCCACAATAATTAAGGTCGACTGTATTAATAGAAAAATGCAGATTCTAGCTTCTTGAAAGCAAAAAATCTAAATTAATAATTAAATCAGAATTTGCAGTGTTCTCAGCAATGGTAATCCCCCCCGATAATATACTCAAATCTTCGGCTCAGACTACACATATATTTCAGATTAATCAGACCACTTTAGAAGATGCAATACACTGATAATCAATGATGAACGCAGTACCTGTAGTTTATCTTCAATTTAAAAAAAATATTAAAAAATGAAAACACTGACTTCTGAGTTAAAGAACGCAACAGCTGACAACGGGTTGAATGGGTGAAAATACTGAGCTCACATTTCCTATCTGTTGTTAAAAGAATCACTCTATAAATGCCTATGTAAACAGCCCCTCCAAAACAAAAATAACTATAAACATAAACGTTGGGAAGTGCAAAAACGTTGATGAAGTATGTAAAAGATCTTGGTTTGCGGCATGCGATATAAAACCGATATTGCCTCTGAGGGGAGCTATGTGAAGGAGGGAAAGGTGACTTTGGTCAAAACCGATGGATGAAAACACGAAACAGCGTACATTTCAAATCAACGGTAAAATAAAAACATAAGTGTATTAAACGACTGGAACGAACAATGCATCAACACAACAATATCACAACATACATCAACTAGAAACGCGTCTTTGATCGGGGGAATAAATAATTATAACTCGACTTTCGCCTCGATCTTCTCGTTTGAACACTCTTTAAAGCCTTATAAAGGAGAAACGTGGACGTTTATTCGTTTAAGAACAGAATCAACTTACCAGGTAAGGCAGTTATAAAATCTCGCTGCAACATTGGCTTGAGATATGAATTAATGTGTCCATGCTGATAATGACACATTTTCGAGAGTAGATATTCTACAAATTCAACTTGCTGGGTTTCTGACCATTTCTCGAAATGCTTAACACAAGCCTGTCTTTCTTCCATGTAAAGTTCTCGGCTCCTTTCGTTTTCGTTGGTTCTGTCTTTCTCGTCAACTTCGCCATCAATAACCATAACCTAAACGGCAAAAAGAAAGTTTCACGTCACAATTTTAAGCACTTGCAAGAGATTTTAAAAAGATCTGGAATAAAGGTGACTTAATATAATCCTTACACTATCCTCTTCGAAGCCGTAGTCGATCATTTCGTCCTCCATGGTGCTAATGTACCGAAGTTTTCTGCAAGTGAAAAAATTATCGCTTCCTTATGTTTGGTTGATCGGAACCTTCTTAAAACTCATCGTGACATCACGGAAATCATATTACGCATGAGCAGTACAATATGAAAACTCGTCACCAGATTCCTATTGCAAACTCGGCCGGAAGCTCGCGCCTTACGGAAGAGGGGACGAACCCCGTCTTTACGGAACTGTTGATTGAACTCCCCCGCAAAAACTAAACTGATCCAAAAAATAACAGGATGCCGACTAAATTAACCGAACCCCACCCCACACTCTCTTTTCGGAGCGAATCCAATGGTTGTAATGGGAGGGAACAGCCGTAACGCCGTGCTAGCCGTTGAACTAATAAAAAGCATGTCAACGGCCGCGGATAATTACGTGGTAAATGGAATGAATTCGAAAATATTTACAGCGCATTTATACGAAAGCTAAGTTTGATCATTTTTGAACATCGGAGTTTGCTCTACTTGGACTTTGGTGCCGTGAGCCTAGGCTCCTAGCTGTTGGCTGCGTATTGTGCCATGTTGAAGGCGAGTGTGGATAAAGACAAGCCTGCGTAGCTGGAGGGATTGTTATGCGCAGGGTATAGAGTACGTTCTTGGCAGTGGAGCCGCGAGGGATGTTCGTGAGCGTCGAAGCGGCGAGGAAAAATAATATCTGACTTGCTCCCGCTCTTTTCGCGCCGTCCGCCGCCGAAATCAACAGCACTCGCCAGTTTTCCGATCTGTTACTAAAGCAAACTAAAACTCCGTTTTTTTTTAAACAGATTCTGTTCTCAAACTCCTATTATTAAAAACAAGACCGATTGCATAAACGGAGACTAGGATTAATTTCAAATAAAATGTCTTGCACAAATATTGGCCAGTATTGCGCTTTTTGATGATCATCATTATCATTAGTCCAGCGGGTCTGGAGTTCCCATACGGTCATAGAGCACTGCCGGAGAACCAACAACAAACGTTACCAAATATGCCGTTGCCTCCGGGATTTAAGCCCTGGTCCCTTTGCGGAACAGGATAAAGCCGGGTCCTGGGCTCCTGCCCCGCCCTCGGTGGTACCTCTAACAACAACAAAATCGTTTGATTAAATATGGTTAAAATCAAGGAACAACTTATAAGGCACAGGGTATAGGTCTTCCTATCTTAAATATATGTTTGATAATGTCGCTCACAAACTGTATGAGAACAGGAAGATTAAAAACTGGGAGTACACCTTTTGCAGTGTATAGTGATCCTCAGACGCCCTCATGAGATACTTTCAACCCCTTAACTTTTATTGACCAGCAAAATGATGACTTTAAAACAAGTGATTTACATGATTAAATTAACTGCAAAAACCGTGGACGAAGATCCTGCTAGTTGTAAACAGCCAAAATATAAAGAACCAAGAACAAGAAGTCCAAAGACTACTGCAAAGCTGATTTAAAACAACGTGTATTGTTTTTTATAACAATATTTCGGCTGGCCATACCAGCCTTCGTCAGGTTTACAGATGTTACTGAGCTTATGTAGCAATCACAATATTATATAGATGGAGAATGTCGCAATAAAAGGGAAAGGCGGAAATGACGTACAACATAAAAACTGGAAAGGAAAAATACTAAGGATATGCATTACAATAATTCGTCATGGCGGTTTATAGGCCATGAGGTTCAAGAGTCATGGCCTTATCTATCTTGTGTGACTTGTGCGGCTCCCTGGCCTTACGAACTGAGTCACGTGAAGAATGAATTTTCTCTAGTGGGATTAACTGCATGTCAGTATGAGAATGGTTAGAGTGAGAGAGAAAGTGTTCAGAAACAGTAGTGGGTTTAGATTTAATGTCAGTTTTGTCGACTGCACGTCTGTGTTCGTTAAATCTATCCTTGAGACGTCGCTTAGTTTCACCTATATATTGTAAATTACAACGGTTACATTGAACCATGTAGATCACATTTTTAGTGTTACAAGTTATGTGTGAAGTGATTGGGCGTGTTTCACCTGTAGCGTAAAAGGTATAACTTGTGAGGCTGTTAGTAATGTATGGACAAGTGGCACAATTACATGGTCGGATTTGTACCAAAAAATGCCTGGATAAAAGGTCTTGTATTAGACTACAGTCTCGCGAGTCTTAGACCACGAACTGCCAGCAGCAAAAAGGCTGTGTAAGGAGCGCACATGTTTATCTAGTTAGTATTTTGCCACTTTTTTCACAGCAAACTTTTTTTTCTCCAAAGTTGAAATATTGCTAAAACGCGGAAAAGTAAAAATATCCTGTGCAGTAGGCGGAAAGTAAGAGGCAAATCACGCGAAAGCTAAACAGAGGTGAAATGGGGAAAATGGGGAGGGAGGAGGCGAGGGAAAAGGTATTCTTTCTCTAACACTTGTGAAGGCAAAACCATAACGACAAACCAGTGAGGGTCCGCGGGATCTTTAGTAGACCTGGATCAGTAAAATCTTGAGTACCAAATTTTAAATTATATTATTTAAAACAGTAAACTGATCCTTACGACAGGAAGAGTGATAGAAAAAAATAAAGAAAGAAAACAAAAATAAAGTGGTGAATTACATTTGCCCGATATTTCTGTTTGCAACACAAACCTTCAAGGGGGCTATGAAAGAAAAATGTATACAGATAAAAGATGAACGTTACATATGCGAGATTTGAATACATAGCAAAAAGAAAATGAAAGGCTACTAAAAAGCCCCCTCCCTTATCGTTTTCTCGTTTGACCTTGTTACGCCGCGAAATGTAATAATCGCCACAAAATGTAATATTAACGCAAAATGTAATAAGAAATGTAATACTAACGCAAAATGTAATAACATTGACGCAAAATGTAATAAAATTTTCAACGCAGAATGTAATAATCTTTCAACGCAAATTGTAATAACTTTTCTAACGCATAATGTAATAACGCAAAATGTAATAATTTCCGAATAACGACGTGCATGCTATTTCAAAATCGGTATTGTTGCTCAGTCATCGGTAGCGAATTCAGATTTTCAATTAAATTATAAGCTATTATTATTATTGAGATTAATATTAATATTAATATTATTAATAATATTAATATTACTATTAATATTAACTATTATTATTATTATTATTATTATTATTATTATTATTGCTAATATTACAATGAAACAGCTGAAATGAGGAGATGTAATCATCTTTAAGGAACCGAATGGGACGTTTGTTTCCGCTGATTTGAACGTAATACAGGTCCCAATACAGAAGTAATATATTATGTAGCTCTAACTTCTATTGAATTATTGCACATTTTCTGTTAGATGTCTAACGCTACAAAAGACAGAATAGTTAGATTGAAAATTCGGGAAATGTTTCTAGAGGTGAAATGGGTGACTACTGGTGTGAGTATTTCCCAGACTACTCAAACAAATAAAACGTTATGATTAGCTATGAAATTTTCGTTGAACATTAGTTCAGGGTGCAAGGGTAGAGCTAATTTAACGTTATTTACGTACATACGAAACCAGAACACCATTTATTATCTTCAAAGTAAGGAATGCAACAATAACCGTTGTTATTCGCTGACATTTAGGAATCGATTATAAAATACATTAAACCATGCAACTCTAGGCTTTCATACGCAAAAATATAATCCTGTTCACAGCATCACATTTTTCCCTCNGAAGAAGAAGAAGAAGAAGAAGAAGAAGAAAATCTATATTATTACTATTATCAATATTAATATTGATAATAATAATAATAATAATAATAATAATAATAATAATAATAATTCACATGAAGATCAGGATCAGCTACTGATTACTGAGCCACAATACCGATTTTAAAAGAGCATGTACGTCGTTATTTCGGAAATTATTACATTTTGCGTTATTACATTATGCGTTAGAAAAGTTATTTCAATTTGCGTCAAAAGATTATTACATTTTGCGTTGAAAATTTTATTACATTTTGCGTCAATGTTATTACATTTTGCGTTAGTATTACATTTTGCGGCGATTCTTATTACATTCTGCGTTAATATTACATTTTGCGGGGATTATTACATTTTGCGGCGTAACAGACCTCTTAAACGCGAAGCAAGACGCTTTGAAAGCGTTCATTTGGGCGGAGTTTACATGCATCAAAGACAGATAAACTTCAAAGTCAACAGGGCAAACACGAGCTATTAAGGTTATAAAAAGTCCTTTGCCAGTCACATAAAGGAATTTTTTCTACAGGGGCCAATTCGGATAAAACTTTAAAAGTGAAATTTACAAGTTACGCGTGCCCATTGTTTTAATTAGAGTCTAAAAACAATAGCGGAGCCTCAATTGGTAAAGAAAATGGAAACCTATCGATGAGAAATTTTGTTTATGACGTCAGCGTACGCCTGTTATCCTGTCCACCGACCCGTACAGTGACTGTGGGGGTAGATGAGAGGGAGATTCAGCAGCGGAAGGGACAGGAGAGTCCAGACAGCTTGCGTTCATCTTGACGAAAAGTTTACCAGTTCACCTAGCTAGAGGCAGCCAGTGGAATTGTTCCAGTCAGGAGCCCATGTTCCAGTAAAATCTTCAAGTCTTTTTTTGTTTGACTTACGATAAAATACTTTAAAAATATATATTTTTACCTGGGTCACGCTTTTGATCACGCTCTTGCAACAATCCAGTCTCAGATTGGTCAAAGTTGTGACAGGTGAATTCACAAAATAGTTTTTTATCTATGGATTTTTAATTAACTTTCATATGATTGTATGCTGTGATCTCTCATCATATAATGTTTTTAATATAGTTTTATTATCTTTTATTCATGCGTAAAAACTGACGCAGCATCTTGAAGTTTGTTTACCGACAACTGGACGTTTTAAAAAGTTTTAAATGCTTTAAATGTTTTCAAGATTTGAGCCCCGCGATGTGTGGCCTCTTTTATCAGGATAAAAATGCGCATCATCACACTGTAGCTTTAGCTTATCACTGGCTCACTCGCACAAGAAAGCACTCAGCCCTGCGATACAACATTGACAAAACACTGTTGGATTACCAAATTAATCAACTGAGCATGATTCTATATTCAAAATAAAGATGATCGTCGTTCATGGCTTTAAGTTTGCGAAAGAATCGCCCGATTTCTTGGTAAAAATCCAGCGCCAGCTTCCTCTAAATTTAAAATCAATTTTTGTTTTAGATGTTTCAAAGATTATAAATTTGTCTGCTAGCGCGGATGTATTCAGACCCAAAGAAACACAACTCACAAAATCACCTAGTTTTTATTACCGTTGAGAAAAAACTTTCTTTATTTCATGCTTATTGACCGCCTAAAATACAAGTAGTGGAAGTATTGGGCACAGGAAAAAATTGGCGCGTGTCTCCCTCGCGCGCGCCCATTTTTCTTGTGCCCACTAGACCACTTCCAAGCGCCTGCCACGCAGGCTATCCACGCGCACCAGGGGAGCACAGAAACGAGGCCGAGATAAACAAACTATGTAACCATGACAGCTGACCAAGCTGACAAGACGCCAAGTTAACATGGCGGTGGGAGATGCTGTAGATGGAGCGGTAGAACAGCTGATAAATACAGCTTCTGCTTTGGGAAGTACAACAATCGACCTTAGTAAGAAAAGGCTTACCCAAGTTCCCCCTGACGTGCTAAATTTACAACAGTTAGAGGTAAATTTGATTGCCATTTTTATAATCTTCATTTGTCATCTCTGACAGCCCGTTTGCTGCTTTCATAAATGTTTATCGAAGTAAAAGAAAGAGACATATTCTTCCTTGTAAATTCATTTTGCTTTGCTTTGCCATTTCCAGTTTTTGTACTTGGAAGGAAATTCTATTTCGTCGTTACCCGAGGAGCTGTTCGATTGCCTACCAAACTTACGTTGGCTTGATCTACGGAACAACCGCATAGCGGAGATTCCTTCGGTTATTGGAAAACACAGGTTTGTTATGAACAGGTCTAGCCAGTTAGAAATATCAACGAGCCGCCAAACGTTAATGAGTCTATAAATCGTCAGGTACACGCAGCATCGCCTTCTAAGGTGCTAATTGAATGTTAGCACTTCACTGACACAAATTCTGTTTCTTTCTGGAGCAGAAGCGACACTACATAATTATGAATATCTGTGGCAAATATGGCTTTGCCGTATTAAAATTATAGACAAAATGAAAAATACATTATGTACGAATAGGGCTTCAAAGTACGGTGAACCTCTTACAAGGCCGGGTCACCTCTCCCAAAAGGCAACGAACACAGTCCATACATTCACTCTCATTTTAATCACTGCAGTCTCTACAGTGGCAATATACTAACTTGCATTCTGTCTGCTAAAATTGTTGCTTCACAATGGCCATTTAAAGAAAGAATGATGTACAAACTTGGCATGATGTAACAGCTGATTGTATCTTACTTGCTGTGTTTAATTTGTTTATGATTTTGTTTTGAGCAATTGCTTTTCGGCTTTCGATATATTTTTGTCTGCCTTTTGTATTGATTATTGATATGCTATTACTCAAAAGAGTTATTTTTATCCCCCCCCCCAAAAAAAAAAATGAAAATAAATAAATAAAAAATGAAAATAGTGTCATGTAATAGAAGTACATGTATTAGTGGATGGCGGTAATCTCTGTGGTCCAAAGACAGACATTTCTGTTTGTTTTTTGTTTTTCTAAATAGAAATTTGAGAAATCTGTTACTTGAAGGGAACACAATAGAGACACTTCCTTTGGAGTTAGGTAAGTTAACTAATAATAATTATTTTATTCATCATACTTGCATTAATCTTACTGGAAAGCATGTCAATAATTGTCATGTCCAGTTAGTTATTTAGACAGTAAAGGGATTAATGTAGCAGTTAACTTCAAAATCTGAAATAACGAGCTAAATAAAATATTGAAAACCTAATGAGTCTAGTAAAAACCATTTGGTGATAGTGAGCTACATTAAATTTTTTTTTGTTACATTTTCATCTTTTCCAGGTCTGCTTAAAAGTTTATCTGGACTGAATCTATCAAACAATCCTCTTGAGTTTCCCCCATCGCATATAGTGGAAAAAGGCACACAGGTATGATTGCAGTTGTATGTTGCAAATATGCATGAGTTATTGTTAATGGTTAAAGTGTAGGATACATATTTACTATCTATCACCCAAGAGGCTTACAGTGAAACGCGGTCAAGTGTTCTTTGAGAAAGAATAAAATATGAAGTTGATAATTTCATTTTTGAGTTCATTATTCATTTCAAAATTAAGTTCAAAAATTGAGTTTTGATTGGATTAGTGAGACAATCAATCATCAAAGCAGCAAAATTCTAGATTTTGATCACTGGTGAGAATTTTACTAAATATTTGGACAAAATGTTACTCATAGTAAAAGTTACTAGTTCAAAAGAATAATAATTATGTAATTAATTTTTCTGTGTATAATGAAGTTATTTGTCCTTAGTTTTGACTTTCACAGTTTTTTGAAGAAAGATATTCCAGATGTCATTCCAATCTCAACCTTTGTTCATTTCAGTCTTGTGGTCATAAGCTTAAAGCATCGTGCAAACAGCTGCAGCATTGCTAGTTGTTGCATCTGTTTTCGCGTAGCTAAAAGTCTGATGGGTTTCAAACTTTGCACAACATCTCCCAACAACATGCAACAACATGCAATGAAGGTGTGCAAACAGACGCAACATGCCCCGGGGGGAACTCTGCATATGAAAGGAGAGGGGATGCTTGTCTCGCTTAGGGGTATAAATTTCGGATTTTGGGCAAAACGTCGTCATATTTAGCCATGAAGGTCTCGTTTAGGGTTGCACGTGAAAAAAATATAAGAATATGTGTATTGTCTGTGGTTTAACATGGTCTCTTTTAGGGGTCAAAAAAAGCTTGGGCTACGCCCAGATCCGTCTTTTTTAGGGGTTTAATTCCAATTTTCCAATGAGCATCCCCACCCCTTTCATATGCGGAGTCCCCCCTGGGGCAACATGTAACATTGGCCAACAATGTTCGTCTTTTTGCAGGGGCTTAACAGTAAACATGGCTGTAAAGGGCATGGTAGCCATTATATAGAGAGACTATCTTTATAAATGCTTCCCAACTGATGTCTCTTTTCGTTACATGTTAAATTGATTTCTCCTCCAAGATCAATAATTTTCTTATTTTTTTTAAAAATCAAAACTGAATTTTTTGTTTTGAATGTTCAATTATTCAACTGCAGAACAAAAGAAGTATAGAAACTAATAAATATGAAGTCAAGTTCAAATTATTTTCGGCTTAGGAATGCTTAGACTGGGTTTCACTGTAATCAAAAACAGAGGTCAACAAAAACAAATGGACAAACCTAATCTAAAGAAAACAACAGTCGTGCAATGGCATGAAACTTGCAAGTTTTTGAAAACTGTCTAACTTATGAAAATATATAGAAACATGAGTTATTATATAATACTGAGTTGATATCATTATGACCTTTCTTGCAGGAAATTCTCAAGTTTCTTAGAGAACAGTATTATTTACAGCTTCAAGAGAGAGGAGGAAGAGTGCTTGTGGAAGGTCTGTACAAGTTTATATTCTGCTTCTAATGTACAGGCTGTAAGGTGCCACTCCAGAGTTCAGCCCCCTTTAATCTACCCTCCCTCCTCCCCACAGGAGAATTTTGTCTTGGGCCATTCCAGTATGAAGCAGTGGTATAATCTGAGTATAATAATTATACTGAGGATGAATTATTCACCCTCTCTCCCATATCTCCCCTTTTCCAAATGCTCCTGAAATTTTTTGGTACCTTCATCTTGGATGGGATACACACATTTGAATTAACACTTGGTTGCAAAATGTCAATTTTCATTCTGAAGTTAGAAGTTTCAGGTAGTATATAATCATTTACTGAGAGGCATTATTTTTGCCAGGAGGTGTTTTACATTCTGTGACACATGAAAACCTGGGGAGGGGGCCATGATCCTTTTGATAAGATTAAGTTTCTCAGGGTCGCCTGTTTCCATCTCCCAACCAAAAATACTGTGCAAGCTAGGTCACCAAGCATAATAAGCAGTAGACGTCGTCGAGAGTATTGTAAGGCTGTTTAAATTCTACTCAACATCCTATGTTTTCTTTTTCAGAGCATCCAGAATCTTCATCAAGTGAGGAGCTGTTGATCGGTCCAGCACCATATGGTGCTGAACAGACTTGTAAGTTAATAATTGAAGTCATTTACTTGAACGAGTTCCTTGTACGAGTAGTGATTTAAGCTACGTAAAACAGGCAACAAAAATGGGCAACTTGTTTTACAACATTGCTGCAAAATGATTTGAAAAGCAATGATGCGCGTAAAACCCACAAAAGGGTTCTGTCTAGGGTATTTGAGGGGTAGAAGCCCCCCCCCCCCCCCCCCAAAAAAAAAAATTTTTTTTGTTAAATTTATAAAGAAACTTAATCAAAAAAAACATAAAAAACAAAACAGATAATGCCCCACCCTTGAAAATTCTCAAAAATGTTTCCTAAAAAAGCACAAAACCCCTCCCCAGGGAATTTTTTTTTAAAAGCCCCCCCCCCCCCCCTCCAAAAAAAAATATTGTTATCGTTACAGTATATAAGTAACTATATCAAAAAAATCATGAAGACACAACGAGATCAGTGCGCACACTGTGACATTTCTCAAAATTGTGCCTCAAAATGCACCAGACTGCATCTCAGGGCATATTCATTTCTAAAAATTTTCGGGGGAGGGGGGCTTGCCCCTGGACCCTCTAGGAAGCTTGTAGCCTTCGGCCACTCATGACTTCTCCTCCAAACTATAAATTCTAGATAGAACCCTGCACAAATCAAACCTGCCTTAAAAGAAATCAGGTTATTTGAGGTTGTGAAAAGGTCTTCTAGAAAGTAGAGAGGAGTTGTACTTTTTTTTGCTACAAAATCTGTATTAAAATGATTCCCTTTAACCGGCCCAAGGCAAACTTGTTTTGCAACATGTGATGCCACTCCTAATAGTATGGCATGATTTTTTTGCATTTTCATACAACCTGTTTTGTTGCAATTATATAAACAAGTTTTCTTTGGTAGTGGAAAAAACTCACAACATCACTTTCCAACTAGTTTTACAGCAGTGTTGCAAAACGAGTTGCACATATTTGTTGCTCTTTTTACTGCAACTTCAGGGAGACTATTTTTCTGTTATTTCTTTATGAGGAACGTTACTGCTGTGTTTTATGTCTTCGCTTTTACAAACGTTGAATGGAAGTCCTACGCTAAAACAAGCAGGGAAAAAGAGAGAATTTCAGCCCTATGACATGCTGTTAATAATCACTGTTTTTACTTTTTGTTCTTGTGGTAATAATTTTCTTTTAGGTGTGTTGTGTAATTCTTTACAAATATTTTGCTCAGTCCTATTGTTTAACACCACTAACCTGAGCATGACTTATAACGTGTCTGCATTAACATCTTACAAGCGGATCTATTCTCGGAACTTACTAAGTAATATAATAGTAAATCAGGGTAGAAAAAGATACGCAAATTTAAAGGTGGATATCGCTCCAACTTGTCCTTCCTCAACTTTTATACACTATCAGGATTACGCCTGTAGCTTCCCACTATTTTTGCAGTGAAGTAAACGAGTTACTAAAACAGCAAAGACCGTAGTTTCTTTGATAGTGAGGTAACTTTAGAACAACAAAAAGAGAGATAAAGTATTCCGCAAGTCCTTGGCTTTTGTTAAAAATCTCTGAAATCTTGGGAAACTCGAAACAAAAGTTTGGAGAAATACTGATATCCACATTTAAATTTGCGTTTCAGGGGTACAAGATGAAGAAGAAGTTCAAAATGAAAATGAGAAAAGTAAAAGAGCTGAGAGGTTCAAACTGCCTCCAATTTTCCAAGCGGCTGCAAGACACAAAAATCGTCCTGTTGACGAATCAGAGGGGCTTTTAAGAGGGCAAAAAGCTCGGACATTTGAACAGGAAAAACCGTCTAGGAATGTTGTGGGTAGGGAGCAGAGGTCCCCCGCGAGAGTGATAAAGCACGAAGCCATTTCGCCGAGAAAGGACGCGGTATTTCATGGGTTTGGGTCGAATGAAGGCAAAATTCAACTGGAACCTTTGGACAGAAGTCGGCGAAAAAGCGAACGAACAGGGAAGAGCTTGGAGGGTCTGGACAAAAGTTTAGAGTTAGATAAACAGTTATACATTGTAGATATTACTAAAAAAGACGCAAGAAATCCGAAGAGCGAGAAAACCAAAAGAAGAAGGCGAACAAAGACCGAAAGTCCTCAAAGAAATTTGCCACTAAGAGAAGGTTCCAGCAGTAATGGAAATGTAGCTGTGGCTTCCAATGAGGAAAAAGCTGAAAATGTAAAGGAAAATAAAACCCTTCAATCTCAAAAAACTGTACCGTTTGTAAATGTAGAGGAGAATTCTCTTAGCGGCAAGAAACATCAGAAGCCTCAACATTCTCAAGTTAAAAACAAGAGTTCAGGCGTGTTATCCCTGAGTGAAGGAGACATGGTCGCCGTTAAAGTGCCTGAGAAACTTTACATCAAAGGACAGCCCTGCCTTGGTAAAATAACAGCGCTGGCAGATCACCAAGGTCTCCTTACTGTTCATTACTACACGGGTAGTTATCAAGGCCGTTGGAGACCGATGATGAGTAGGACTAGTCCTTATCTTAGAAAGGTAGCTGCGGATGATGTGTTGTGCAAGTTTAAGTTGAGTTCTGATGGAAGAATGTCGCCTATCACTCAAAGAAAGCTGAAAACAGTTGTTGATGATGAACGGAAAGAAGAAGGCAACACATGAGGAGAAGAGAATCGAGTACACGGCTAGAAATGAGAATTTCAGTCCTGATGGACATTTCACTCAAAAAAAAGTCGGAAACAGTTACACTGTACTTTTTAAACTAACAAATATGACAATCAGCTTTTTTATAACCATGAACGCACAAATTCTGCTAAATGAAAAGTTAATTTTTAAAATGAACACATGAGCGGAAAAAATAACCCCAGATATTTCGAAACTGTGGGTACAAATGTTTTAAAATTGATTGATATAGATGACCACACCGATGGAATTTTTTCCCGAAAACGGAACTAAGGGGAAAATGATACATTCGTCTCGTATAGTGACGTAAAGGTAAAAAACGTATCAATCTATTTGAGATACGAAGAATAATGTTTTTGTTGTAGTAATAGTATAAATACTTTTTAAATGAACTAAACGATTATAGGCGATCAACACAACAACTACCACTTCTTATAATAGGTGATGGTCAGAATACGAGTACATCTATAATCTGAAGGAGTATGTATATTTTGAACAATTAGAGCATATATTTAAATACGAATCCATTACGCTTTATACAAGATGAAAAATCAAAAGTACTTAGAATTGATGGGATAAATTAGTACTTCAAAGTAATATCGTAAAATGACAAAGACATAGTTTTTAGAAAAATACAATATGACAAGCTATGCGTACTTGTAAATGATTTTTAAATTTAGTAAGTATTTTACATGTAATAAAGTACGTACGCCCCAATATTCAAGTGAAATAAATCTTAGTCTACGATCTTGTTAACAAAGCGTGTTTGTCTCTTGTTATTGTTGTTGTTCTTTATTATTCCAAATTAACTCGTGGAGAGTAATTAATGAGTTGCAATTAAGGACTTCAGAAAACTTTTTTGTCATATGCAAAGGCACTGTCCCAACAAACTCAGATAGAAATATACTTAGGGCCTGTTTACATGGAGGTGGGGCGGCCCGGTAGGTGAGGTAACCTGTAAACGTGATCAAATTAAAATGAGAGATTATATAGACAGGCGGGTTACCTCGTCTAACCTCCACGTAAACGGGCCGTAAACCATTTTCTCCTCTTAAAGGGTGACAATTAATCCAAACAGGTGGCAAACCAGTTGACTATCTCACACGCATGGTTAAGGATATGTCGGGTTTACCGAGAATAAACCCGGCAAGCGGTTAGGGCAGGACTTGAATTTGGGGCCTCCGGATTACAAGTCCAGCGGTCTTACCACTCTGTCACGCTATCTCCCACTGAACCTCCAACAGCGAGAAGAAGTTGTGTCACGTTGCCATGGTAGCAACATGTCTAAAAAACCGCAGTCCTGCAAATACGACAGAAAAAAAAGGAAAAAATCGACATGTATGACTTTCCCGTGCATGATCGCACTCGTAAATAAAACGGTAGCCCATACTTTTCATCCATCGTTCGACAATGCAAATGGCCGTCTGTGTCAAGAAAGATTATTGAGATCCGGAAATGTTCCTACCATGGTAACGTGACGTCACAGGTCTCCTCTTTATCTAACAAAGCTCTTTATACGGAAATCCACAGCTATGGTAAAAACAAGATTACGGGTCAAGGTCCCGATATAATGAACACGTTTTCCAAATTCCTGGTGTTTCATTACATAAAGGTCGTAACAGTGTTTCCACTGTTTTGATTATCTTTACTCGAAATTCATCAAAGATGTAATAAATTTTAATTGCAGATACAAGGAATTCTACTTCTACGCGTCGTAGAAGAAGTAAACACGATGAAAAGCAACTCCCAGGTCCAATTAACGCGCCGGTGACATTCCACCCCCCTCCCTCTCGATCAGATGTGCTAAGGCGAGAATATGACAGACAGAGAATGGAGCTGCAGTCAAGTAGCGGGCTGTCAGCGGATACACGAAACAGGGAGTTTGTGGGACCTGGTAGGTCGGCACCCAGACAGACGAAAACCAGCCCAAAATCAGAAACGAGGTAGAGAAGTCTTTTTCTCTCGTAGCTTTGTTAACAGTTCGGCGCTGAAGCTCCCTAGGTCGATCACGTTGGTTTAGAAAGATTTGCAAATATGGGCCCGTTTCCTCAAACGATTTTTCGTACGATTTCGTACGCTTGCGTCAATTTTAACACGTTTTTTTCTTTTTTTTTTTTCAGTTCCAGGTCTGCGCGGTTTCAGTACGACGCCAACGCGACTCCAAGATTCCCGGATTATGAAGCTCGATTGGCAGATCAGCAACAACTGGCAGTTTTAGCTGTGATGAACGAGAAAGAAGCCATGATATTACAGAAAAGAAAGTTAGTCACTCCATCATATTGATCTCCCTTTAATGTTTGACTTAGGAAATGGCTTCAAAAATGTATGTATTTTCGCGAGTGTTTTTGTGTGTCCATATCTAAGAATTATACTCAGCTGGAACTATGAAAAGAAGGGGAGAAGTCTATCCAGCACCAGCCTACGTAGTTGGCTTTTTTTGGGGAAAGGTGCAACGGAGGGGAGACCGAGCGAGCGGTGAAGCTGCGAGGGCGGAAACAACACAGGACTATCATTTTAGATACATGTAGACTTAATTCAAGATAGATTGGTAGCTAATTGTTAGCTTGTTTCTCTTGCGTTACATTTGAATTCGACTACGCGCAGTCCTTCATTTTCCTCCGGGATAATAGAGCTTACTGGAAAATCGCCACCCGCGATAACCACTAACCAGAGACGCTCTGTCTCCGGTTGTTCAACTACTACAAGCAGGCCCTCATTTTCCTCTGGGAGAGTAGAGCAAACGGGAAAATCGCCACCCCCGACAACCGGGGACACCCTGTCCCCGGTTGTTCAACTACTACGAGCAGTCCCTCATTTTCCTCAGGGCCGCGGAATATTAGAGCGAGTGGGAAAAATCACCACCCGCGAGAAAAGTGACACGCGGAGGGAAGCGTTTCGCTTTTCCCGAGCGTGGCAGTTTTCATGCGCGCTTTCGTATTTTGTGCACTCAGATATACCTGGGTAAAAAACTACTTGCAGTCTACATTTGCGTGGACGCATTGTTTAAACAACCATTGCAACATGAGGCATATCACCCTTCGTTTAGAGACCCAATTGTAATCGAACTCACGAAAAAGCCATCTAGAATAACCGTTTAACCCTTTATACCCTGAGATCAAAATTTGAATTGTCATTTGTTGCCCCTGTTCATTTCCATTAGAAGTAGTGGGAAGAAGTTGATAAAATATCAAGCAAATTCATTTTGTGTGATCATGTCCGTGATTCTCATGACCACTCTGTTTTACAAAGCATTGACAAGTACAAGGAGAAATTTAATGCTGATCACTCTTAGGGCTTAAAGGGTTAACGCTGGTGCACAAGTACGGCAGAAAAATCCCATTATGAGCCACCTCGAATAAGCTCTCCGCCTAAGCATGGGGTCCATTTCTAGAACTTGGTTTTACCCTTAAGTAATCGTTTTGAGAGCCAATCAAATTCAAAATCAGGCTGAAACTATTATATACTTTTAGTTCCCTTCCTAACTGGCATTTCAGTAAGAAACTCATTGTTTTCTTCAGGGACAAACAGGCGCTTGACGACTGGAGGGAACAGACCAAAATGATGCGGCAGCAAAAACAGCGACTTGCGGCCATAAAGGGTTCTATACCTGGTGAGTTAATAGTGCACTTTTCGGAGCTGGGATGGCTTTGGTTGGACAAGATGACTTTTATTCTGGCTTTAGATACGGCTAGCCAGCCTGAAGTCCCCTACCCAAACTCGGCTAGTGGGACTGTTTTTGAAATGGCGCCTGCATATCCAAATAACTTTTCTTTCTTACCTCTAGCTTTGGGCATTTGAATTGACCTGCCATGAGGAGATTGACCATGAGCAAAGTCTTTAAATCTAAAATAAGCACGTGATGAGTGGCGATTTTCGGAGCAGTTTTCTCAGATCACATAGTTGATCCTTTTAATATATCGTGTAACTATTCCGGTTTTGTTTTGCAGTTGAGGTGAAGGCGCCTTATGGAACTGAAAAGTCTGCCAAGGAGGAAGAAAAGGTGTGATTTTTTAACTTTTATAGAATTTATCTTGAAACTAAAAGCCACTCCTTTCCATTCCTTAAAAATTAAATGTTTCGAAAGTACCTTATGAAGGTGACTGATATTCATTCACACAATGCGGACCAACCCTTGCAGTGGCGGATCCAGGGGAGGGGCCCGGGAAGCCCGCCCCCCCTTATTTTTAGACCAAACTGGGGCCCGAAGGTCTGAAAAAAATTTTTTGAGCCCTGGGCCTCCCCCCCTTACCTCAGGGTCTGGATGACACCCCTCCCCCCTATATCTGAAGGTCTGGATCCGCCACCGCGGTGTAAGATTAGTCTGCTACACAGCCGTTTTTAGTGTCGTCACGCAATGCTCCTCCCCTCAATGGCCGTTTATCAGACTAGTGTAAGATCAAATTATGGTAACATGATTGTACTACATAATCCTCCATAGCTGCCATGGAACCTAGCGCACATATTCAGTATTTTGATTCATAATATAGCGGTGGTTAACTCGAAAGCTATGATCCTCTGACCACCGTACACTTCTCTCGAAACAATTCACTTCTTCTATTCATATGAAAAACTGAAACTGGACTGAACTGAAACTGTTCTTTAGACTCCCCAAGGCTACGCCAAGCGACTCAAGGAGCTGTTGGAAGAAAAAGACGGGAAAGTGGCAGCGAGAAAGTAAGTACTTCAAAGAAGCTCTGTCATGAGTCAGTTTTTAACAACGTACAAGAATATTCTGAAAAGGGAAATCTGAAAATATAGTTTAGCCAAGCAATGATAGTAAAAAAACTGGAGAAGAAATACAGTCATTCCGACTCGTTCCAGGAATGTGATAAAAGGTGATCGAACGCACTGAATCCTAATTATCCCATGTATTCCTATTCCAAAATAACGTTAATCGAACACTCCCTAAATGATAGCCTGCGTAGCAAGCGTTTCCGTTTGGTTTCGAAGCAAGGAAAGACTGAGGAACGGAATTTTTGGTCAATTTTTTGGCCGCGCCAGAAATGACACTAGAACCTCCTCGCTCTTTTACTTGCGCCATTTTTCGCGCGGTGTTTGACTCTTTGTTCCTCGTTTTTTGCTCCTAAATCTGACGGAAACGCTTGCTTCGCAGGCTACCTAAATGAGTAACAATAAAATGGACCGCAACTCGCCCAAACTCGCCTTTACTATTGAGGACAAACGTCCTTGCTATTTTAATGTGGATGAGTGCTCTCACTTTTTATTGTCATGACAGGGCCTTAGAAGATCGCGAGTTGGAAACTAGAATAAAACAACACATGGAAAAGTTACAACAGCACCGTAGTAAAACTTACGGATCGATACACGATGAGCTGGAGTCTGCGAGAGAGAACCTAGAAATGGTAAGTGCCTGTTAGAAATCCCGCACTAACTCGCCACGGTTATGTACATTCCTCCAGAGAATGAAGATCGGCTGCCTTATCCACGCGATTTTATTACTTGTTATAGGTGTTTAGGTTGCTCGTCGATGGGAAAGTGCGAATGTGGCGAAATATTTTTCTACAGGTGTCTACTAGGGAAAAGACTCCTCAAAAAGTCCAACGGCCCGGACGAAATGCAAAGAACTCCATGTGGTGGAACCACGGATTCTACCGACAATCCTTCCCAATTCCAACCTTCTCTTAGGCTTAAAATAAAGACTACGTGTACGCTGTCGCAATCAAGGAATGCTACATTCGTTTATGATGATGCCTGAAATCGTCCTAAAGGATGTTGCCTGATTGACAGTATTCCGCAATAAGAATAAACAAACTTAACTCTAGAAATCGCTACCTCACAGCTGCACCCCTGGCTGAATGCACCATTCTAGAGTGAATCCAAGATTTCAATGGTAGACATTTGTAAGCGTCTTCCGTGCATTTCTCTGATTCCCGAATGCGGTCAATCGATTCGCCATTTGCACATCTCTCATTTCTCTCATTATATCATAGCTCGGTTCCCTCCCCCAAAATTGTTCACAAGCATTGTCTTCAGTTTCTCTTGGGGTGCGGGGAGTTGAGGGGGAGGGCAACAAGGTGTATTATGGGAAAATGGTGAATTGCACCCCTGTTTACTTCACGTAGGTTATGCCTGTCGGTTCGCTTTTGTTTTGCGGTGTGGGTACTATTGTTCAATGTCTTGTCAATCTTTTGTATTACGCGACATTTGGTGATTGCATCCGTCCTCAACACCAAGAAAGGCTCCCGTAAAATGACCAAGTTGTACGACATAAAATCAATAATTCTAAGGCTTGCGCAGATTCCCACCTCCCCCCTGACCCCTATTGGTTCTTTTATTCATTGCAGGCGCGTCAGATACAGCGCGAAGTGCGTGATAGGAAGGAGTTGGAGTACCGCCTGAGGGCCTTTACTGGTGATGATGTGACGTCATTTTACTGGGGATCAAAGTCCAAGACTAAGAATGCTCCTAAATGAAAACTTTCAGTGAATAAGATAGTTGTGTAAATACGGATATTGCAAATACCTATACAGAGTGAACACTTACCAGTACAAAGATTAATATATGAAGATTTAGATGTTGGTCATCAGAGAAAATATGATTGATTTGTATTCAGGTTGCTTGAAAAAGTTGATTTATTTATTAATTCATTTACATAAAAAAAAAAACCGCGAGCTAAAGTGGCTTTTCATGAACTCTTTTCTACGTGTAATGATCGTGATGCTGTTTTTTACAAAGATTTTACTTATGGTGCAAAGAGATGTCAAAGTTTAAGAGACATTTCTTTTAATAAATAATTCTCACTTGTAGATATAAAAGACCATAAAAATTTTGGGTCTGGTTGTTGTGTGAATACTTTTCCACTATAATAAAATTTACAAGCTCAATACTTAACACCACTATGACTGTACGTTACACTGCGGAAACCTCATTTTTCAGATAGACAACCGTACGTAAAACATACTTGTCGTAAGACGAAATGTACAATGGGTACCGTTATTATTTACATAGGAACTATTTTCTAGATAAAGTTCCTCCCATTATTAGAAACCTTTAGATTCGAAGACGAGAACGACTTCACTACGACTGCGTGATTTGATTTAAAGTTTTTTCGCGTACTGGAAAAAAAATAGACACGCCGGAAAGCTTCATTGTACTTTTTTTCCCCAGATTAGTTAGCACTGTTATCTTTATTAGGAGAGGTTTAGCCCTCTTCCGATCGCAAAGTGATGAAACTTCTAACATTTGATAACTTGTTTCCGCCACTACGATTCTCGCTAAACTTGTAGTAGATCTGACGACGTGGGCTATCATTTTTTCCCGCCAAAATGACGCTGGCTCACGCGCGAGCACTACTTAGTATTAAGAAAATCTTGTAGTCTTAGTCATCCTTGTCTTAGAATCTGAAAGGTCTCTATTAACACTTCCACTCCAGTACGTCTCTCAGACTCTCAAGAGTTAAGGTTGCAGTGGAATGCGTTTTATCACAATGACAAAGGCTAATCTTAAAGCCTTCTGTGGCAACAACAAATTTGTATTGTCCTTTTAGTTGAAAGATTGGCAATATTTGGGAAACCTAGATTGAGTAAATAATCCTTCTATTTTTCTTCATCTCCCCCATCTTCTCCCTGGACGACATTTATGACGGGAAACACGTGCTGCTCGCGTGAAGCTAGGATGCCCCTCTGTTCCAGCTCCTCCTCGATCTGTTGCAATCTTCGGTATTTACTGACGTGCTCCGCACGGACCGGACCGCCTAGTCTTATGAAACGCGCACCAAAGGCCACAGCCTGGTCAAAGGAATAAAATAAGAAGAAAAAGAAAATCAGCGATGTCAATAAACAAACAAAAAATTGTAAAATTTCTGGAGACCCCATTTAAGGTGATTAGTTTCGCAAGGGGCAGATTATAACAGGGAAGTTTTGAAGTTTAACAGGATCTCGTGGGTATATAATTAGAGGGAAATCACGATATTGGTGGACTGCCAAAAAATTCGTGATGATGGATGGTTTATTTTTTATGGATGCGCTCCTTATAGACGTTTTGGCTACTTAAATTAGCGGAGGGATAACTAAAGGGGCTTATAATACAATACTACTAACAACGAAAAATCAGATAAATGAGTCTGACAGGTAGCGATTTCACTGTATGATCATTCGCGTGGTTTTTGAGTACACGAGACTAAAACTTTAAATAGAGGCACAAAAGACATACATGTTCCCGACTGAGTGAAAGCCCCTAAAAAAAATTGCGCGGGGCAGCAAAACCGGCGACGAAAACAGACGAAAGTTCGTCCAACAATAGGTAGATTTACAAAAAAACAACGCAACTTCGAACAAGAACGCGAAAGCGCTCGCAAAGGACTGAACGCAACTTCTGGCCCCGGTTGTTCAAACGTTGGATAGCGCTATCCAACGTTTGAACAACCGGGGCCAGGTGCTCAATTTGCCACTTTGCCCTTGGTCACGTCGATTTGTTTGCGCGCGCCGTCGTGACTGTTGCCACATTGCCTTTTATAAATCTACCTAACCTGAGTACAACGCGACGAATCAACAGAGCGCACGCATACGCGCCTTTTGTTGACGTCACAAAGCAAACAAAAGAAGCCAGTCAGCTGGAAAACGATGTGGGAAACTTATTTCGCCCTGATTTTAAAACTGAAGCGCTTGTTTCTGTAGCGGTTTAGAGACCAAAGATCTTCAGTTCGGTGTATCCTGTGATTGCTAGAATTTTTAAGATGAATTAATTTGTGGTGTAAAGCCATCATACTTGAGGTAATGAAGTTTTTGTCCGAGAAATATGACGTTAAATCTTTCGCGCTGGGCTCTCAGGATTTAACGAAAGAAATATGGTATGTGAGACTCATTTTAATTGCCCTTTATCACCATAGTGATATAATAATTTTTAGACGCCTTTCCCTTGTTTCAAGTTAGCGCATTACGTCTTGCTGTGCTCCAAACATGTTCATTTTGAACTCGCAACCACGTCTTCTGCTGTTGTGGGAGTTTGAATTGCTATCAGTGTGTAAACGAATAAAACGGCACAATATACCGAGCCCGGCTAAAATTTTACCAGTAGTTGTCACAATGAAAAACTGTAAACAACATCCGGACTTCAAGTAAACAAATGGAACAAATAAAAAGGTCAAACTCTCGACATATGAGTAACGAGTAAAAATAACTGCTTCATGATTCGTATACAAACACCAGCAATATGACAGAAACAGCTCGCCAAAGGACAGTCAGAGTTTAAGCTGGAAAATTACAAGGAAGAGATTCATCAAAACTCTTACGAAAATGGACATACATCAACTTCTTGTGGTTACTTTGTGCACATGTCATTTAGCGAGCTTTTGTGTGTGTCTGAGAACGACAGGTGAGAGACAATATTTTATAAACTGGTTTGGTCCGTTATAGATGTCGGTTTGATCGCACTTTCAGGGAAAACTCTTACATGCGAAATACAGATTGGTCCTGTTTAGGTTTTTTTAAGCGCTCGTAAAACGAAGAAAAATATGATTAGATGGATGAAGTTGCTCTTGGTTGGCGATGTAAGAATAAACTTAGTTAAGTCCTTTAGTTATATTAACATGCATATTCTCTTCACAGTTCTTCATATATTTCTTTAGACACTATAAGGAGAATTTGTTTGACTATCATTTCTTTTATTCTCACGTCTTTCTTGCTTGATTAACCAGTGAAATAGTAACGAGAAATTCGATGTTGGTCACTTTTAAGACCGAAAGGGTAACTGATGAAGAACTGTAATTAGTAGGCAGAGGAACAACCTAGGAAAAGGAGCGTTTTTTGTCATTTTTTAATGAACCAAAGATTTTCCAATAGTTCACGAAGTACTACGAGTTCTCCCTGCGACCTGCTTTCATGAATGATTAAACAAATTCAATTAACTACTGGTGCCTCAACATCTTTCGCAAATAACATTTGTTCCGTAGATGCATACCTGATCTTTTATTTTACGTGAAAATATCGAATTCCTGTGTCTTATATATACCACTTCAAGGAGAACGTAGATTAATTGACCAATTTCAAACTAATGCTTTATCTGTAGAGTTCCTGCTGAGCACACTCCATTCGTTGAGAACTTTAGATATGATTAGTTATGTCATTCTGTAATAACACAATAAAGACAATTTCTTCTGGGAGCCCTCTTCGTCGTAGTAGTTGCTTAAGCCCCCTACGTTTCACCATGCAGTCGCTTACGAGAGCTCATTCTCGTAAGCTCTAGTTACGACCATTTTCTCGAATTTCCGAGGTGGTCGCTTACGAGAGCTTCGACTGTACAATGTTTCTGTCTTCTGAAAATTAAAAAATTGTTTAATTTCCTGATGGGTTTAGTCTTTATTTAGTTTTTTAGTTTCACGTTTTATTTTCTTCCATATTTAGCTACGTGTGGTGAGAGACCAAAGTGGGCCGAAGAAGACAACAACAAGAGGATCACAGGAGGCCATGAAGCTAAACCTGGCAGCTGGCCCTGGATGACAAACATCTTTATAACGGGGCTTGGAGAGTATTTCAAATGTGGTGCCGCTCTTATTTCGGACCGCTGGGTTCTCACAGCTGCCCACTGTACCATCGCCAATGTTGGGCCAATGATTGCACCTGCTAGTAAATACCCAGAGATGTTGAAGGTAATATCTCAGCGTCTTATTTTCTCCACTTTCGAATCAAAGCAGTAGAGCACCTAGACCGTTCAGCTACTATGGTTAAGGTGACAATAACGAGATTTAGACTCGCGTTTACGGCAAACGGCAAACGTCAGATTCAAGTGGAAAATTTCTCAAAATAGAAAATGAGCGGATTAAAACAGTCCAATGCAATTCTTGTGGATAAAACTAGCATGCCAAACTGCAAGTATTTGTGTAGAAGAAATGAACAGTAAACGACAAGAAAAGAAAAAAACTTGGTCACGTGGTACAAATCGAAGTTTGCCGTTTTCCGTAAAGGCGATTCTAAATCTAAAGAAGCTGCGTCAAGATATTTATCAAAGCTCAAACAGTGAACGCTTCTCCAAAGTGAGCAAAACAATAAAAGAAGGCACGGATAGTGGACAATCTTGAAGATTTTAAAAAACGAATTGCAGTTGCTGTTGCGGTTTTTGACTTGTTAGCCTTACTGTTTTTCAAAGTTCAATTTTGGCATTTGAAACACTTGATATCATGCTTTGGGAGAGGTATTTGTTTGATATACGAAGCTGTCGTTTTGTTATTTACAAGTTTGTACTACTACAGGAGAAATTTCTGCAATTTGATTGGCTTAGAGCAGTGGTATTTCAGCTTAATTTGAAATACCTACATATGAAAATTACAAGACTTCTAAGGGTAGTAGTATAAACAATTAATACCACGATTTGTACGTGATATTTGGCATAAATACCACTTCACTACAAATCATGCTATTACCTATACAAATTCCTTGCTAACGTTAAGTTTCTTCAGTGATTTTGTTACAAATTGTTATGGTGAGTCCTAGGACTCATCTTGTGAACAAATCATGAGTCCCACTCCAGACCCATTGAGTCCCAGTTCAAAAACCAATAAGTCCTACACTGAAAATGCTTGGGCGTTTGTGACCAGACAGATAAAAGATATTCTTTTGTAAAGGACAACGAAGAATAAAAGAAATTAATATGCGTCGTTAAACAACAGCCACAAGAACAGCCACAGAAATCACACGAACAGGATATTCTACAAAAACTTCTTCAGATCGATCGATCGGTCGATCGATGTTTGCGTCCTACGGGACGCGTGCCATGAACTTTTGTGCATCTTTGGCGATTTTATGCGTCAGGGACGCAAAACGAGGAGGTAACAAAATCACTGTTCCTCAGCGAATAAAGACGCGTTCAGTTGCGCGGCAATATCAACCCAGTGGACTAGACAGCCCTGACATAGCTCCTTAGAAACTTAAACGAGAAGCCGAAGTAGTGTAGCCCGTGTACAGCTACCCGCACGTACAGAATGTCTGCCCATTTTCGTCCACAATGATCTTTCCTGTTGGTTGACTTTCAGCAACGGTTTTACTTTTTTATTGCAGTGAAAGTAAAAAAAAAAATTCTGTTACAGCCCTGAAGTGCCTTTTCAGCCTTTTGATCACAAAATACACCAAAACAACCCCAACAAAAGCCTATTCCAGCTCACACTGAGACTCATTTCAGCCCTTGGGTCCAAATTAGCCCTAGGTATATTGGACTGCGTAGGCCCTGGTTAAGGGAGCCACGTAAGAGATTCTGTCTTGATTTTACTCACCCATGCAGCCCAATTTACAGGGCTTAAATAGATCTCTCTGAGTAACAGTGTATTTGTTTGAAATAAGCGCTAGATACGTCTTTTAGATTGTGAATATGCTATCCTTCTTTGTACAACTGCTGGGTTTGTTGACTAGTAATTCCAGTAAAACCGTTTAAGGTCAAATGGAGTGATGTTCGGTATCAGAACATGAAAATGATTCTTAAAAATATAAGGCGACTTAAGCTAAAGATAAGCTAGAAATCATTCAGATTGCTGAACATTAATAATTTTCTGCAATCTGAATGAATGTTACCTCATCCATAGTGAATACGTCAAACAACAACCAAAACAGTCGCAAACTAAGATTATTAGGTACGCAGGAATTTAAACACCGTTTTGTTTAAAGTAACAGAATCCTAGTTATTCGCGGTAATGTACAAAGATGAGCTAGAAATTATTCAGATTGCTGAACATTAATAATGTTCTGCAAACTGAATGATTTTGGGCTCACTTATAATGATGAAAACAAAAATCAAAACAGTCGCAAAACTAAGATTATTAGGTAGGCAGGAATTTAAACACCGTTTTGTTTAAAGTAACAGAATCCTACAGTTATTCAAGGAAATGTACACAGTGCTTTTTATTTTAAGATACGCGTTGGCGAGCATAACATGGACCAGGAGGAAGGAGAGGAACAGGACATAACAGTGAAAAAGGTGTTTTTACACCCCAAATGGGATATACGGAATGAAACCACGCCAAATGGACAAAAGATTCTAACCACACACGACATTGCCTTGATAGAACTTAGCAGACCAGTTCAGTTCACCTCTAAAGTGCGGAGCATGTGTCTGGACAATGGACAACTATTCAAGGCTGGTAAGGCGTACTTTGCTTTTGCAAAGATCTTTTACAGTGATACTCGGTAGTAAGGCTACGTTGGCGAAACCAATCATCACCAGAACCATGAAGACTTTCATTATAGCGACATCATTTGAACAATGTTAAAGGACCCGTCTACTTTCTTGGAAGGAAATGCTAACAGGCTACTCCCCGTCGTTATTAAAGCTCCACGCATTATAAAGCTACATTAAAAACTTGCTGTGACAACCATGAATGAGGGGAAAAGGTGGTGGGGGTGGGAGGAGAGAGAAGAATCTCCTTGTTTGAACGATTTCCTTCACTTGAGGGGCAACGAGGTTTGGGCGTCATTTATTCTGCAACTTGTAGCAGTCTACAAAAATTGAAATTTGTTTTCCTACAAAATGTGTCCGTGCGCTCCGGATCGAATTTGAAATAGGACGTGGTGGTTTTTGAGGAGAGGGGAAAACCGGAGTGCACGGAGAAAAACCTCGCGGAGCAAGCAAGAAAACCAACAACAACTCCACCCAGATATGGTGTCGACCCTGGGATTTGAACCCAGGCCACAATGGTAGTTGGCGAGGGCTCTCACCACTGCGCCACCCTTGCTCTCCAAAGAGCTAACAAGTTCTGTTTTCCTGTAGGTCAACTGTGTTACATCGCGGGTTGGGGAACAGAGAAGATCAAAGGACCTCCCACAAGAATACTGCATGAAGCTGCTTTACCACTGGTATCACACCAGCAATGCAACGAGCCTCAGTCATACAGTGGTATCATTCCTGAGGACATGATATGTGCAGGCTACAAACAAGGGGGTGTGGACACTTGTGAGGGTGACAGTGGGGGTAAGTACAGATCACAAGAGGCAGATACCAACGAGAGGTGTGGTCACCATTGAGGGGCACAGCACGGGCATGGGGATATGAATAATTGAAAAAGGCACATACATGATTTCCTTCCTTCTCGTCGATCTTGAGCTTTTAAGACATACGAGAACGAGATTTTCTCAAACAAAGTAGTGCGCACGTGTAAATTGGCGGGAAAACGTGATAGCCGCCGTCATTCTACTACGAGTTTTAGCGAAAAAGTCGTAATGACGGGAACAAGTTACAAAATGTTAGAAGTATTATGATTCTGCGATCAGACGAGGGCTTAACCACCTTCAATAAAAATAAACGTGTTACTTTCTTGGCGGAAAAAGTTAAAAATCAAGTTTTCTGGGGTGTCTAAGAATTCTCAAAAAAAACTTTAAGTCATCAAATCTCGTCCTCGTAGTGGTCCTCATCTTAAAAGGTCTCTTTTGAGATGGAAGACCATGGAAATTACCTAACGACTGCCCACTTTGTTTTTCTCTGTCTCTCTTGAGCGATTTTAATTTCCAGCCTGAAGTGGTTGTTTATGTTGTTATTCAAAAAAATAGACTGCAAATTTTGTCTTCACTCTTATGGATCATAGTTCTTGTCAAATTGTGACCTCATCTGTGATCTATTACTGAACGAACACACAGTAAGATTGAATCTCTCTATTAAATAACCAATTGAAAACTGCTGTCTATTTGTTGAAAATGCAAAGTTGAGAGAGGCGGCTCAAAGATCAACCAACTCCCCTGTTACACGATTGAACAACAAACCGTAAAGTAGCTTCAGACTGAAAGTGACTGGTAAAAAAGAGGGCTTACAATAACACACGACTGACTGACTCTTCACAGGACCTTTGATGTGCCAAGGAACAGGGGAAAAATGGTATCTTACTGGAGTGGCGTCTTTTGGTCAAACAGGGTGTGGTGTGCCATACAAGTATGGAGTGTACACAAGAATAGTGAATCACCTACAGTGGATTAAGGAGGTTACTGGTATGAATATACCACAAGCACCGCCAAATAACGTCATGCCTTTCATGACAGAACAGAACACTTGGTGGGACCGATAATTTCACGCCAGAGTACAGGGTCGGGAAAGGGATTTCCTCACCCCGCAATCCCGCTCCTTTTTCACGAGAATCCCGCATCTCGAACTTCGGTCATCGACATCCCGCATTCCGTTTCTTTCCCAATGCCGCATTCCGTCCCAAATTTTGGCGAATCCCGCTACCCGGGTAGCAGTCAACTAACTTATCCCGCGAACGTTTACTCAAATCACGCACTTTTTTTTGGTCAAATCCCGTATCCCAGCAACGTTTTTATTTTGGGCAAATACCGAATCCCGACAATACCCCCTGCCCTAGACCCGGATTTTGTGATCACCTTATTACAAAGATCTCTCAAGAGAGGGAAGAGGAGCGACCTTGGAGATGAGGTTGGATCAGACTTGTTCCCAGTATCTACCTGCTTCCTACTTTTTAATAATACAGTAAAAGCCTGGGGAGGGTAAGAACAGTTTCACGACTTGCCGGGAAAAACTTGAGGAAGCGTGTTCTCACCAAACTGTCCCAGGTGCGAGCAACTATTAGGTTGGACTGTGATTTGCAGGGGAACTTCAACAAACCTTTTCATTTAAAAGCCACCTCTTACGCGGGAAATTCCGTACTTTCCTTCAAGTGAGGACAAGGCAAAACACTGACGGACGAGTGGCCCAATACCTAAATTAAATTCTCCATAGGCTTTTTGAGCCACAAAGAAAGGTAAAAGTCACTACTAGGGAATAACGGCTCGGCATCTATCGTTTGAATGGTAACAATCAGCATTAATTTTGGCTACTCTCCGCCTGCTGGGCAGGCTAAAATCACAACAGAATAAATTATTTGTCATTGACAACGTGTAATGAAATACTTAAAGCGCTCTTAAACTATTTGAGTATTGCACACATAATAGATTAATCATGACGCTTAAGGCAAAGGGCTATTTGTTCGCAAGTTAACCCCAAATTGTTCTTTGTATTCTACCTGGGATAAAAAATAAAAATAAAAACTTACCAGATCCACAAGAATGGAAGAAGGATCCGAACATGGACCCTCTTTCAGCGCAAGTAGCCCTCCCTGATCTATGGAACAACAAAAAAAATTGTTACTTCATCAAAGCTACTAGAAAAAAAAGGCAGCTGACTACCACATATAAGCGACATTGTTGGTTGTAAAGGAGAAACGGCAGTTCACTTCAAAATGAGTTAAAGTCTACAAAACTGCAGGAAAATTATGTAAAGTAAATCAAACACGAAGTGAGTTTTGCTGCTTCCGTTTGCAATAAACATGATTTCGGATGATGAAAATTGGTGAATTAAAGCAGGGCAATGAACACGGTGAAAGTTGGGCGAGGCTCCGTGACGAGTTGCAAACCCTTACCCTTTTCATACCTTTCTTGACAAAAAAGCCAGCCCTTTCGTATACCCGCTATTGACTAATGGTACCCCTTTCACATAACTAGTTCAGAACACTGCATTCCTTTAAACTGCCTTTAATGCACCTTCTTTTTAATATGAATAAATTGCTAAACCAGGACGTTTTCTTGTCTTTTTCACAGCCACGAGATGTGTCTGTTAGCCCTTTACGTTTCCCCGTATAGGCCATAAAAGAGAGTACCTCGCCCGGAGTGTTAACAAGAAACCTTCGTTCACGGGGTAGCTTGTAACATGATGAATACTAACCACATTTGTCTCACGATTTTAACACATCAAATAAATAATCTTGCACGAAATTTCAGATACGAACAAACCTGCGACGGTCTTCGCCATTTTTGCAAGGCCTGTGATGGTATTGGCTTGGTCCAAACTAAGAACAGCAACACTGCTAAGCTTCTCTGTCATTGCATACTCTAACACGCTGGCGTGTTTCCTGAACAAGTCGTTGCCAACTATAAAACACTTTTCTCCAATTCGCTGATTGAGTTTTTTCCAGCCTTCTTTGTCCTATCAGTGAAAATTTCATGAACGTATATTGTAGTCTGCTCCACAGCCGTTTTTAGTGTCGTCACGCAACGCTCCTTGGGGAGGAGCGTTGCGTGACGACACTAAAAACGGCTGTGTAGCAGACTACGTATATTGAGAATTGCAAAAATATTTAACAGAGAGGCCAAGGGGAACAGAAACATAACATAACAGAAACATAACAGAGGGTAGAAATAAGGATTTTCATTTATCTTCAAAAGGTGTACCCTATCGGATGAATCCGGTTCAATAGCAAGCTTTAAATGTAGGTTATAGTATTTATGTCATATATATTATTGTACTGCAACATATATGCAGTTCTCAAAAGTCCATTTCACGTATGGTTACATTTTTCTACCCTTGTTTAAAAACTCCAAAGCGCTAATACGTTAAACCATCCAATGAAACGTACTGGAAAAATCAATCAAAGTTGCTCTTACATCGGGCTGACATAGCGAATTGCTGATCTCCACGCACGTACATCCACACACACACAAAAAGGTGGCGGAGTACACTCTCTACCTCGGATTCCGCTCGCGATAGGGGGAGACAAGAAGGCGCACAGGTTCCAAACTAGAGACTGAGGTGGTTTGCGGGCTACTTACCGGACTGCGCACTCCGTCCACAATGGCTATAATACCAGGATATCTGTCATGGAGCTCACAGAACAAGTTAATCACGTCATCGAGACTTTTGAAAGTATTAGCCATTATCTCATATTTCTGCTTCTCCTGTAAAACCAAGAGAGTTCATATTTAACAGGATGCTAAATTCGGCCGTCGAAACTTCCTACGAACGTACATTTACTTACTTTTTCCAGCAGAAGGACCGAAATCTTGAAATCCCGATAGCAATTCAAGACAAACAAACCCTGACAATTAGGCTAGAGACCAGAAAGTCAATGTATTGCGCGGTCTTTGTTGCACGAGTTACAAATAATGAACGGAAACTGAATTGGGTTCTAACTTTACTAGCTTGATGAATTTCTTCATGAGCTAGGGTCTGGTTGGTGGGTTATGACCTACACCTCCCCTCATTAAATTTGGTCTTTTACGCTGAAGTATCGGTCGGAAAAGTTATCAGAACCAAACGGTCGTTTCTTTTTTTTTGGTCTTTTGAGGTCAGTAATGCCTGAACACTCAAGTCCAGGCAGTTTGTAAAGGCTAAAACAAACAGCCACTCATGTCGAAACATTTCATTTTTTAATTACAGCTTTGGTCCAAATAGACTTTCATTAAGTCCTTTGTGTGTCGCACGGCTGTGTTTTGACACAAAGAAGGATTCTTTTTCTCGCTTGCAGCCGTTATCAACCAAAAACGGATCCCTGAATAAATTATAGCTGCAGCCAATCACAGTCAACGACGCAAATAAAAATGTCACATGATCGATAAAGCATCGCCTCCTGACCTTGATTTGGCGGGAAACTAAATTAAAAAATTCGTTAAACGGGACTAAACGACCTCGCGTGACTACGTCGCTCGCTCGGTCGCTTCGTGACCACATAGACCCTTGTTTCTGTCGCTTTAGGATTACTGGCGAACATTAAGGTGATGTTACACGAAAAGATTCGAAACGACGATTTTTAGTACAACAGAACGCTACAATGTTGGAACAATGTGGTCACCATTCGAAACAATGTCGCAACAATGTTGGGACGCTGTGTTGAGGTAAAAGTCTTCGTTGCGAATCGTGTCGTGTAACATCACCTTTAAGCCCGTACTCTTGACCCCTATTACTGATAAAAACGAGGTCAACTTGGCGCAACTGATACGTTCGTTAATCGACCTAAAGGGTATCAAGACTTATAAAAGATGGGGTCACTAAGGACGAAAAGGTTAGGAAGCTTACCTGGTCATAGAATTCTGACGCTGCGCAGTTAAGGGCGATGTGAATGTCAGTACCAAGGCTGTAACCACAGCTGGACACAGCTTCTTGTACAAAGTCTAGTGCCTGCTCTGGTTTGTCCATCGAAGGAGAATAACTACCATCATCTGTTATACATCGAGCAGATTGCTGAAATCACACAATTCATAGTTACGAAGGGTACCCGTGGCCTTCTTAGGTTAAGAACTGAATAAATTGACTATTTTCGAATTCCCCATAATACACTCTGTCTGCCCCCCAAATTTTGCATAACTTATTGTCTTAAAATGCTCTTGGGAAAATGCAATACTCCCAGGAGCATTTAAAAACAATGGTTTATGCAAATAGAATATTAAAAAAAGAAAAAAAACAAGGCACAAAAAAAAAAAATACACACGAAAAAAGAAAAAATGAAAAGAAGAGACAAAAGAAGAGACAGAAAAAGGAAGAGGAGGAGGGGGAGGGGGGGGGGGGGGGGGGGGGGGGGGGGGGGGGTGGGGGTAGTAAAGTGAGTGCACTGTCCGCCTCAGGTTTGACAGTTTTAGTACGGTTACGATTTTCCGGCGTAAGATGAGTATCTTTAACTTTACACAATTCTTAACCTAAGAAATAGACCTCAAACGAAGGCCGCTTTACGCTTCAACACAGTAACAACCAAAAGAAAGAACTTACTCCATATTTCTGCACAAGAATTTCGGCCATCTGCTGATGAATGTTTGTAAGCTGACGTACTGCCTACAGCAAAATAACAATAAGTAAGGCATAATCAGTATTTCCACTTTCCTTTATTATCCAAACCGCAGTAAACTCATTAGCACGATGCACATGCAGATTTGTAGTTATGCTCAGTAAAGCTATTGTTTTCTGACGTCCCCGTTGCCCGGCGACGTCGTACTTTCTCTAATTATACAAGGTACCTCGATACAACGAACAACCAAGGAACTGGCAAAATTTGTTCGCTTTAACGAGCTTTTGTTATATCGAGGTTCTTTTTCGTATATTTAGTACTATAACTGGGGTAAAGGAAATCGTTCTTTATACAGAGGACTTCGTTAAATAGAGGTTCGTTACATCGAGGTTCCACTTTAGCTTCATATATCCACGAACATGTAAGACTTTCCTAAATTCTGATTGACTGTATGTTCTACTACAAAGAATACAACAGAGTAATTTTTGTATGTATACCTTCAAGACGAACGGAAAGCTGGATAACACATTAATTTTGCCGGAACAAGCCCACAAATACAGATTTAACCATCAGAAGCACCATAGAATACAGTAAAAATAATTCTAATGAAAATTCAAATTGCTTGAGGAATTTTTAAAGTCATCGATTGATATTATTTGTCTCATGTCGTCTTTAAGTGAGTTCCAGAGCTTTGCAGCTTCGTACTTGATGGGCTCGAGTCGATAAGTGGTTGTCCTATTCAAGTAAGGTTAGTACATTGTTCCCTCTCACAAAATATTTGGAGCTGCGAAGAGAGAACAATTTAGGATACGCAGAGACAAATAAGCTTTTAAACACTACAATAAGCATTTTGTGATTTCTTCCACTGTACAAAGATGCTGTCTTAGCCTTCTTTAGCAACTCGTCATAACTAGAATTTGCATAATTAAAGATAAATCTCAAAATGCGTTTATTCAAAAGCTCTAGTTTATCACGATTTCTCGCGCCACGAACGTGCCATGTAAGTGAACCGTAATGAAAGTGCGCGGGAGAACGCGTCCCTCGCACTCGCGTCACCTTTCTCGTGAGACTCTCGCGTAACTTCTCGTGACTACCCCAAATGGACAAGAAGGCAAGAAATCTCATTTGTGTTGCAATGATAGTTGATAACTTACAATCTGCGACATTAATCAGGGACGCCCAAGGACTGTTTTCTGAAAAATATCTGTTCGGAAAGCAAAAATTGCCTAGAATTTTCTATAGCCGGCTTGAGGAAGGCTAAAAATTTCTTGATGACCGATCCACTCATGTACAATTTTCGAAGGTTGTCTAACAAATTTCCTAAGATTTTGTGAAGTTTAATTTTTCACATTTCACTCCCCAGGTTAGGCTATTTTTCGTAGAGAAAGGAAACATAAAATTTTAGGAATCGAAAATGCGATACAGAGAGGAATCAGAAAAATTCTCCCTTTCGTAAAACTTTAAATTGCAGCTAAAATTTTCGGGAAAAAAATACTAACGCCCTTGTAATTTAGAAAAGACTCAGGTTGCCCCAGAGTGACCGATGAAAATTTTTAAGCGCCACTTAGAACACATGTCTGAGAGATCTTAATGTGTTCAGGATAAAAAGTGTTTTCAATGCATTTATGAGGAAACCGTTGTTGGGTGCCCCTTATTAATGGTACACAGAGCTTAAAAAACACTACGAATTTAAGACGGAATCCATCAGCAAATTGAGAAGTTTTAATTTTCAGTGGACAAAAACCTTGTACCAGAATTATTTAAACAATATCGCATTCTTTTTTACATTTTTCAAGGGCTATGGATGTAATTAGTTATCTGTAATAACACCAAAGACAAATCCTTATGAGATTCTGAGCAAATAAATGTCAAATTTCACAAAATGAACCTTACAAATGAAATTTTCAGAATTTTACCCGTGTTTTCACAAATCTTGTGAAATTTGACATTTATTTTCTCAGAATCTCATAAGGATTTGTCTTTGGTGTTCCCGTGAGAAATAGTCTTTGGTGTTATTACAGATAACTATATAGCCCTTGAAAAATGTAAAAAAAAGAATGCAAAATTGTTTAAGTTATATTGGTACAAGGTTTTTTGTCCATTGAAAATTGAAATTACTCAATTTCCTGATGGATTCCGTCTTAATGTCATTTTGCTCAAGTGCAATTACCCACTCCTTTTCATCCTATCATTTTCAGGCCCTAAAGCGAAAAAATTGACTAAAAAATTTTAGTTTTCGGTGGCGCTAACGGGAATCTACATTAAATAGCAATTTTAAGATTTCAGAAAGAAAACATAGTGATCTGCCTCCTTTTCAGTGAAGAACTCAATGAAAACATCGTCTTCACACCAAGGTTTTAATTTCGTTTTCACAGACTTTTCAAATTAAAAGCAAACAACTGTAATTTGGAAGAAGAAGAATTCTAAGACCAGAAAGCTCAGAAAAAATTCCGAGCTTCAGGTGAGAATCGAGCTCACGACAATCCGAGTTCTAGTTCGGATGCTCTGACCACTGAGCTACTGGAGGATCTATGGCGAGCAGAGTCGAAATTCAATATAACTACACCAGTTTAATGATAAGCTTTGTTTAAGGAAATGTTCAGGTAGGGGCAGCTGGACATGGAGAGGCGGGCCCTTTTAGCCGCAACAAGACAGTTAAAACAAGTAAACACACCAAGTATGTAACATAATTGGCTTGATGTCAATCGGACCTGACAGCTTTTAATATGTAGATGTACACAGAAAAGCAACTATTTGACTCTTCGTAACAGCTTTCTCGTCATCATTCACGAAAAAGCTAATCAAACGAGCCAAAAGTAAAAACGAGAAGAAACATCAAAGCATCTTGAGTGACGCAAGAAGAAAAAAAACAAATCTTATTTAAGGCAGGATATACGTTGCAAATTTTTATTTTGTTGCATCCAAGGCGGACTGTTTTTCTCTCAGCGTTGTACATCTTTAACAAGGTAACCAGCATCGTTAAAGAAACAATGAACAGACGGTCGATATTTTAATGACATTTCTCAAACTTTTAACCCTTTCTCGACCGTTGTTTCAGCAAAGATCGGCATGTCCAAGCTCTTCCTAAAAGCTTGACATCTTCAGAGATTCTTCAGTACATCATTTCATTATCAAAACGTCCTTTCTCGCTAGTTTTCTGGATAATGGAAGGAGATAAAATACTCCATTCATCATTTATTGCAAATATAGTCTTAAACGCTTTTTTATCATGTACCGCCATTGCGCTGAATAGCATCACAATTCAAGCGCTGATAAAAACGACGTTCCCAAAACAACCGTCCAAAACATTGCTTCTGAGTCTCGCTGTATCTGATCTTTGCGTTGGTATATTAATCCACCCAATGTTTATTGCACTCATCATCATTAGGGTGCAAGGAAACTCTGAGAATAGTTCTACTTTCAACAGCATGTATACCGCGTTTGTTACGGCCGTCAATATTGTTGGTAGTACTTCAGTCTTTGGAGTGATGGCTCTAAGCGCAGACAGATTCTTGGCGATTCATCTTCACCTCAGATACCAGGAACTCGTGACACGCAAGCGCGCTTTCATTGTGGTTTCTTTGATGTGGGTCTTCAGCGTTTTTTCATCGTTACTTAGACTAATGATCCAACAACACGTTTATTACTCGTTTTTTGTTGTTATTGCTATTTCTGGGCTCTTGATCACAACTTGGTTTCACTACAAAATATATAAAGCCGTGCGGTATCATACAAAGCAAATTCGCGCGGCCCATCTTCAACACACAGCTCAGAATGCGAGCATCGATGGTGCAAGAGTAAGAAATTTCGCAATTGCTACTTGCTTCATATATCTCGCTTTCTTGGTTTGTTATTTTCCAAGAATATGTACCTATGTCGTCTTTGCTATCTTGGGAACAACCACAACGACCACGGGTTTAAGACTCTACTCTATGACTCTTGCTTTTCTAAGTTCAACGCTTAATCCGCTGATTTACTGCTGGAAAATGAGGCATATTAGACAAGCTGTGGTGGAAATGCTGAGGAAGATATGGCAAGGTTTCAAGTAGGGGATCACACGTACAGAAAAGGAGCTACATCTAGGTAACCAATGAGATAATCGCTCAAGAAAGACGGGGATACTTATGAAGCGTTTTCACATGACGTCACGTGCGCCATGTTGGTGTCTCAAAACATTTAAAAAGGCGACCAGAGTTGAACTCTCTTGTTTAAACGCTTTCTTTTGTCGTAATAAATATGCATAGCTGCTGTTCACGTGAGCGAAAACGCACTTTAGACAAATACGATGGATTTTGACATTACTGCCACGTCATCTGAGTATTGACGTCATCTGTCCTTTTGCAAGTACGTTTCTCTGTTACGTTTGATTTGCACTAACGCGTTTTTGGTTACGCACGTAAACGAACGTAAATTCTAATCACGTAAATAAAATAGAGGCAAGATAAAAAGTGCTGACCTCAAACAAGAGGTTGAGCGAGGTTCAACTCTTACACTTTCGAGCGACCTTTCATGCGTTGCCTCTATTTTATTAGCGAACGTAAATTTTACGCAAGTACGCACGTAAAAATTACGCGACACTGGAAATCAACCCTAAGAGATAGAGTTCATATGAATTTGATATCATCTTGTGAACAAAGCTAAGCAAAGCAAACATGGAGTTTGAGCATTGAATGACGATTTCAGCAAGAGAGAAGAATAATCTTGACGCTTCAGTAACCTTCAGTAAACCCGCGGTCCACGAATTCCTACTAGAATTAAGACTTGGATGTGTTCCCAGGTTTACAAAACATATAAAGGAAAAACTGGACTCCTAGGGGACAATCCGTCGGATCAAGAACGCAAACTACAATAAATCCAGCCTACGTGTTAATATTGAAAGTCGATGCTCTGTTTATGGCAAGGGAAACTGTGGACTTAGCTACTCTAGCTAGTTAACAGGAACTCCACTCAGATAATTTGAAACAAACAATATAAATAAAACATACCAGGATTAAAAACCCTAACTGGCAGTAGGCAAGCAGTTGGCTATTTAGAAGCGTGGCAGAGGACAAAACTCGTTAAGACCGAGAAACAAATCCAGTTAGTGGTCAGAGCGGGAGTCGAACCGGGGTTCGCCGGATCGCGAGTCCGACGTGCTGCTTATATGTGAATAAAAGTCCGGTGTTCTGTTGCAAACCATATACAAACATATCGTAAAATTCCGAAAATATGCCCCGGTGCTTATATTTTTCAAAGGCCCTTTTTGAGGGGCTTATTTTTTGGAGGGGTTTATATTCGGAGGGGCTTATCTACGTAGAAAAATTTCAAAATCGATAGGGCTAGCGTTATAGTTGGAAGTAAATTTACTGTTTTTTCTTTGTTTTACTTTATATTTGAGGGCAATTTTCCAGGTACAAGCCCCCGGGGGGCTTATATTTGGAGGGGCGATTTAACGGAGGGTTTTTTGCGTTACCGGTTTGGGGGGCTTATATTTGGAGGGGCTTATTTTCGGAATTGTACGGTATATTAATAAGTAAAGCAACCACTGCCCATGCAGCACACTTTTTGAAACATTACAGGCAGGACAGTTTAATGCACGACTACCACGTGAAATTTCCTATTTCACGTAAACACGCGAAGGCGATTTTTTCTCTGTCTTTCTTAAATTTGGTGCGGTTCCCAAGAATTCAATCCCAGGGAAATTCACCTACATTTGACATTTTAAGCGCGTTGAAAAGAATTCATTTTTATAGTCGCTTTTTCGCTGCCGTTGCCTTTGCCATAATCACCGTTGCTAACGCTCCCTCGTCATTGTTGCACTAGAATACGAGTAGTCCCCCATTTTTCCTCAGGGATAGTAGAGCGAGCAAAACGCGAGCGCGCGCGTGAAAATCACCCCACGCGAGAAAGGCCTTTTCTCGCGTGGAGTGATTTCACGCGCGCTCGCGTTTCGCTCGCTCTACTATCCCTGAGGAAAAAAGGGGGACTACTCGTAGTTTATTGTTGCACTTGCCAACTTCACTAACTACAACGTACGTCAAAAGAGCAATAACAACAACAATAACTTTTGGTACCTCTGTCATGGGCGTTCCAGGTTGTGGCAAAATAATAATTTCTTTGATAAAATTCTGCTTTCCTGCCGCAAACTTTCCACTTGACAGTACAGTCATCATTGGAATCGGCAGAGAAAATTTGCTATCAGGCTGTCATGTTAAACAAAAAAATAAAACATTTAGATTTGTAATCCGTTGTTTACATCCTTGAAAAAATGAGGGCTCAATTTAATTAAACTTTATTAAATGTAGCTATGCTAGTTTTAGTGGTAAATTACCCTGTTTGAGCTTGAATTAAATTGGCTCCAGGATCAAAAGTTGCGATCTTTTTTTTTTTCTTACGGTCGAAACCAAGTTCATTTTCTTTCGAGTTCCATAGTCATAAACCTATGCGAGCTCACGAATGCAGATATATTTCCAGCTGCTGCTCCTTCGTGGCGGAGAGGAGGAGTTGCCAGAAATGAGTGTGCCTTCACAGGCTAAAGGCGTGCTCAAAAAAGAAAAATTGTTAATTTTTTTGGTATAACTGATCACAAAAAAAGATAACTACTGCAAACAAAAAAATACCTTTTTCCCGGAGAGAAAAGCCAGATGTTCATACAAAGGAGCTCCCTTAATTTTTGCACCTGTAATAGCTGTTGCCATGGAAACGCCAATCATAGCACAATCTGTACAGAGTACCTCTTCATCCAAGTCAGATATAACTTGTGTCACTGATTCTTTGGTGCTTTGTTTTTTACTGTCTGTTTTCTTGCTTGTCTCCTGTCAAAACGAGTGACTGTTGAAGTCATTTTGATCATTGCTATCAAGTATTGGTGAAGTTAAAAAATTCTTTGAAATTCTTAATTCTGTGACAACGAGTGACTGTTGAAGTCATTTTGACTATTGCAATCATGTATTGGTGAAGTTAAAAAATTCTTTGAAATTCTTAATTCGGTGAGAACGAGCGACTGTTGAGGTCATTTGACTATCGCAATCAAGTATTGGTGAGGTTAAAGAATTCATGCAGTTATACTGTTGTAACACTAACATACTAGTAAACTGAGTCAACAGTTATTCCGCCAATAATATTATTCACAAAGTACCTATTTTGAACTGAAAACAAACAAGTCAATGAAGTCTTATTTTCATTTTCACGAAGCTAATACATGTATTTTTTTATTGCACACAAAAAACAAGACCAGACAGTGAAGGGGAGAAAAAGATGGTCATTTTAGGCAAAGAAAGATTGGAACTACAAGAGATAACCAACTGGACTAAGGCAGTAATTATTGTTAGTTGGGTTACCTGTGAAGTGTGAGACTGTTTACTCTCTCCTCTAGGCATACTGGGCTTCTTGGATGTATCAGCTCTGCTATCAATTTGACTCCCTTCTCCTTTATCTGCATCTGCATCTTCCTCCGTTTCATTCTCAATGTTTTCACTGCTGTCAACTTTAGAAGCAGCCTTTTCTTGTTCTTCTAATTTTCTAATGGCAATGATAGTGGCAGATAAATTTTTTGCACTTAACTCAATCAGCACCATTTTCCAAGCCTAAAAACCTTCCAATGTCCGTTTTCACACTAGAGACTGAATCTCTCCATCAAGCAAAACAGTGTTCACTTTTCATGAATAATCTGTCTGATTTTATTCGTCTGTTTAGGCAGATTTTGAAGATGGATAATCTGTCTTTAGACTGGAAAAGGCCAACAACATCATTGACTACATACTGATACAGTCATATTCCTTTAATTATCCAGGCACACCATTCATATGGAACCTTTATATGGCCCTGTCTATGTCGTTGTTAATGGGTAACAACTGCGATTAGCCATTAACTATGTATATGTATTGACTGAGTTGAAGCCCTTGATGTCACTGATTAACTATGTCTAGATAAACTGAGCAGATCATTCTTCCTGCAGGAAACTGTAAAGTATGAATGAATTAGCCCTTTGGAGCCTTTTTACTGACCAAAACAACAAATTTACCTGAGGGGACCCTCCCTGTACCCTGTATAGGCCATTATACAGAGTACCTCGATCCCCTCAAGGATCATTCTAGACTGAAAAAGACCTTACTTATCGAAGATCAGTGGAAATTCCAGAGTTGGAGGCTGGAAAAGTATCAATGAAACAGTGCTTTGAATCAGAAGGGAATGAGAAGATCTTTAAATAAAAAAGACTTTTAAGAAGAAGATTTGGTTGTGCACAACTTTAATATCAAAACCTTGCCGACAGAAGCCTTAAGATATGTGAGTGTACAGTATAAATACTAATTTCAACGCTTTATTGAAGGTGATGACACAAACCAGCTTACTTACTGTAAGATTTCATCCACTGTTGTCTGGTCAGTGGGATCCAGCCCGGTGATAATTGGACCAATAATGACATCAATTCTCTCTATCATTTCCTCCACATCCAGCCCTTTATTATCATTACTCAACTCTCCGTCATTACTTGTAGTGGTAGCATCTGCTCCCTTTTGTTGTTTAGCTAGATCAGGTGTCTTGGTCTTAGCATCTGGAGTTTTGACCTTGGCAGGTAAAGCATTTAGAAGAGGACTAGCATCTACGGAGGAGGCCACACTTGCAACATGCTAAAATATAATATGAAAATGACATAAAAAATCAAGAAATGAAGAATAATTTTATTATCAATTTTGTAACAACCACATTTGCCATTTGCACATCCCCCATAATACACCTTGCTTGACCCCCAAAATTTTGCAAAAACATTGCCTTCCATGTCTTTTGGGAAGACTGCAATACCCAAGAGAAATTAAAAAGAAAGTTTATGCAAAATTATGGGAGCAAACAAAGTGTATTTTGGGAGAAGTGCAAATGGCGAATACAGGCATTTAGGTGACCACACCCAGTATTCAAAATACCAAAATTTTTCCCAGTCTGTCAAAGCTCTGTGGGCAGAGCCCCTTTTAAACAACCACCTCCCCTTAAATTAAGTGACCACAACCACTTTTTGGGTTGACAGTTTTATGATTTTTTATTGGTAACGTCGTGTAAGCCTTGGTCGTTCTAACCACTAGCTTGAGAGTTTAGGTGGATACTCACTTACAATCTCTTGGTTGTAAAGTTGTAATTTCTGGTTAGTTAACACATGCATATGTTGTGGTTCAATTTATCCTTGGTTCAAATTTTATTTTCCTATGTTTCAAACTTATCATTATACATTACCATACCCAAAAACAAAGGAAAATAAAATCTACACCAAGGATAAAATTGAACTCCAACACATAAATTGTAGTATATAACTTTTTGTCTAAAAATCCGTTGTAACAGGTCACAACTAAATTCAAGTTCAAATTTTTTAACCTAGGTTGATTCTCTATTTCCTTAACTTGCTTCTTAGCCCTTATTCATGAATAATTAATTAGGGCTAGGAGACAAAAGAAATTGAATTCAAACCTACAATCAGGGACTAAAGTAGTTGACACACTTGTCTGAAATGCATGCTTTCATCAACAATTTCATTCATTTATCATACATCTCTGTTCAAAGGCCGTAAATCCCACCACACCCAAATCAATGTTGTTTGTTAATGTAGTTGAAGAAAGACTTAAGGGTTTAAAATACAACATTGATTTTGGGGGGAGGGGTCAGGGTACAAACGGGGAGGAGATAGAGAAGTCTACTATGCAAAAAGGTTGCCATTTTATGGAAGTAAGTGTCTTTTAGCAACACTTTATATTAATTTTGTTCCTTATATGGACGGTAGGTAAACAAATATTAGCCTGAATTTTGACCTGTAACACACAAGCATTTTTCAAAACATAATGTTGACGAAAACTAAAGGGTGTGAACAATGAAAAGGGGTATACATTGTATGATAGATCATACTTACCTTGGAAAGTCCATTTATTGTGCAGTTAAGGCTAAGTTGAAAACTTGGGAACCCTCGACAGCTAAGAACGTTTTCTGCAGAAACCTAAGCGATACAAGAAGAAGGCACTAAACTAGGTAAACAAGGTTTGTCAAACAAGTGGTGACGTCAATTCTAAATCAAAAGTAAAATAAAATTTACCAGGAAAAAGTTGGGGAACTCTGGACTGAGTAGTTCAAGGGATGATCAGGGTTAGTTGCCATGACAAATCATTAAGAATTATTCCTCGAGCCTGAATGGGCTATTGACTCAGCAGCCATGAGGATGAAAGGAATAATGTTTTACTAAAATCAACTAGTTGGTCAAAAATATCGAAACAAAACAGCTTTAGCTAGCAAAACGCGATTCAGCTGCCATTGTTTTGGTCTCCAAAGCCGGCGCTTTTCGCTACTAGTTGGCTATAACATATAGTCTAGTAGTAGCTCAACCAATCAGAATGCAGAATTGATAATAGACCACTAGTTGAATTTTACTAATATGCTATATTTCCAGTTACTCATTGATTGTTAGAACTAGAAGTGCTTTGTACAACCCTACCTTGGTGAATAGGAAAATTTTAACAATGAGTGAAACTGCTTTCTGTCAAAAGTCTCTGAATGGAAACGATAAAAATTTGTTGCATCAGGTGAATGAGTGTTGGTGTACTGGCCGAGAATTGAACCTGGGGCTATCAATCTCGATTGACAACTGTGTAAATGGTTGAATACTAGACTGAAGAGTGCTACGACCGAGGTAGCAAGTCCAGGGCTGTGCTCTAGCAGAGCCCGGTGGCCCCTGGCGCCTAAGTTTTGCCCTTGGGCGACTAGAAAATCTCAGATTTTTCATACAAATTATATGCTGGGCGCCCTAGATTTTACAGTTTCAGAGCACTGGGCTCCCTTCAATTTTCCTTAGAGCACAGCCTTGAAGTCAGTGGTTAGATGTAAACCTGTGAAGTAACCCTATAACAACGGAACCCTTTAACAGTTAAAGTTTCATATATGTCTGTATTATGAATGCATACATATTTACTGAGAACATGCTGGCTAGTGTTGGTTTGGTGATAATAACTATTGGGTTAAGTACTAGAAAGTGGAGTGGTAGCTGTAGGTCCCAACTAACCAGCTGATGGTTAGACTTACATGTACACCTGTGAAGCAACCCTTGGAGTAGAAATAAATATTGTAAATTTTGCTCTCACTTAGGATGTTTAGGATGGAATACAAATATTTTTTACCTACATGGGTATAAATAATTTATTTCCCAGTATTTATTTCGAATTATATGAAAGAAGATCATGGCAGTTATAGACGCAACTTTTGCAGTTGTGAAAAGAAAGGCCGAAAAAATTCAGGCTTCTACGGGATTCAAACCCTTGACCTCTGCAATACCGGTGCAGTGCTTTATCGATTGAGGTAACAAGCCAACTGGGAGCAGGTCATTGAATTGGTTTGTATTAAACCTGAGAAAGGATGATGATGAAGTTAAGAATATATGATTATCATATACGAAAACTATGAAAGAAGAACATCGTAGTTATAGATGCAACTTTTGCACTTGTGGAAAAAAAGCTGGGAATGTTTTCCCAGCAGGGTGAACTCTCATTGATCACTTCAACATCACATGACATCTAACAATGAAACTGTTTCCTGCCAAAATCTCTGAGCAGGCAACATTGCAAAACCTAAGACATCAGAGGGTAACAGTGCACTGTTACCAGGGCTCGACAAAAGTGCTGTCTGATAGCCTGCGGCTAGTGAAGCGACCCTTCGGGCTTTTTACCGCAGTTTGCTCGACAGGCAAGCAAGATTTGTTGTCTTTTTCTCATCAATAAATTAAGAAAGAAACAATAAGTGTGTAGCAAACAGTTCCCTGGTGAAAATCAATGTTAATAACATTTGAAAAATGTAGTAAAATATCAAAGGCAAACAAAAGAAATTAAATTGAATTATGTGTTTTAGTAAGCTTAAATATAAAGCGCTGGCGGCTTATTGTGCTCTCACTCCCCTACTTATAAATTTATATAAACGTCATTAAACAAATACCTTGGATATTGTTGGTGCTTGTGAGTGACTTCCAAAGTACTCAGCCTAAAAAAAAAATCATATTTACCAATATTCACACCACAAAAAATCGTTTACCAGAGCAAGTATCATCAAAATGGGCAAGGATTCCCGATTCTCAACGGTGTGATCAATAATCGTATCTAGTGTCAGGCTGGATTTAAGTCTTCTCTGCAATGCGCACTCTGGACTGTATTTGTACGCAGCCTGCAGCCTGCAGTCTCAACGTTTTGTCCTGGTCGTTTAACAACGAGTCGCTGTAAACAGCTGAAACAGGCAAACACCAGAGAAAAATCCCTTTACGCACCATATAGCCGAAGATATCACTTGGCTTTTCCTTGAACATCTTATTAAGAAGCTGTTCGATTCGTTTTGGAACTTCATTCTTGTTAAAATAAGCCACAGCTTCGCGTTTTTCCTCCAGACTGTAAGCACCATTTTTTACCGCCATCTTGAATCGCCACGGCAACTGAAATCGTTTACAGCAGCCTCGCTTTGATGCACCCGAAGTTTATCATCCCAGTCCCTTCGCAATTTTCTGTGGCATTTCTATGAAAAGGAGGACGTTTACTTCAAGCCTTTTCAAATACATACTAATTTGTGATTGACTTTGTGTTGCCCTATTATTGCTTTTGTCCTTCGCATATTTATGCGTTTAATGTCTTTTTATTGCAATTAAAAAAATGCATAATAACTTAGTTCTCTTACAAGAATCTTTTTAACCTCTGTTTACGTAGGTCTCCTAGGGTGTAATTAAATAGATGTATGAACCAAAACATTCTTTTGAAGAACTATATAAATCTGTCAAAAGTTCTATCAACGTTTCTAAACACTTGCACAATAAGGCTTTGGTTGGTCCCATTCAGTCCATTTACTATAAATATTTAATATAGCTGTCAATGGCCCTCTAGATTCCTTAGGTTCATAAACTTTTAGCAGAAGCTCCTGACTTTTAGGATGGTGAGAAGAAACTATACAAGTCCGTGTTCTGATCAGACGAAGCTGAAAAATAACACTGATCTTAATAGAACACCAACGAAGGACCACAACTGTTGCGGAATATGTTCCTTTGGGGTTTTTGCATTCTTTGTGCTACTGCTTAGGCGAGTGCGCAATCATTTAAAGACAAAGTTCCCTTTGACAACAAAAATACATGAAAAAGAAAATGGCTAATATGCAATAACATTTTTACAGCTGTTTATACACTTGTGTTGATGCATTCGACGACTGACAATTAAATTGGGTGATGCGGTTGACTGAGTCCGATTGTAGACTGAATTTATAATTTGAACTGACTTTAGTTCTCGTGTCCTATGGAGGAATTGCTGATTACCTATATTTTGCCGTAATTTTTGTCTGTACAGCAAATTAAATTTTTTTCGAAGGACAAGTGTAAAAAGCAGTACATAGTGGAAACGCGAATCTTTTGTAAGTGTCAGTTCATTAACAACTGTCTTCACCTTAATTAAAGAGCCCGATGCGTTTCAAAATTGAGAGATTTTAGTAAAACATCGCTTACGTTGCTAAATTGAAAAGGATTGTGCAGCCCAAAATATCGTTTAAAAGTGCTGGTGGTTAATTCTTCAATACCCTAGCACACTTCCGAGTACTACAGTGTGTTGATGACCATGAAGATATTACTACATATACTAGGGCAGAGAGTTCTTTTTTGCTAACACAAGGCCTTGATTTATTTAAATTTATTGATCGGCACTGAGCTTAGACAATTTGAGATATTTTAAACCCAAACGGAATTCTTGTTGATGAGAAACTTTGAAATTCATGATGTACAGAATCCTCACAACTGCATTGTACTGAATTTAAGGATATCACTGCCGAGGAGATAGTTTAGATGCCTAACTTACAATGTTCGATAATATATAAACATAACCTGTTTTACAGAAAGTCACGGTAACCAATTTTAGAGTGAAACTAACCGATTGAAGAAAGGCACATGAGTGGTGATGCTTTTTTAATAGAAAAAGAGATACAGTTAAAACCCCTCGAGTAAAAACCTGCATTTTCCTAAGTTAGCCTAAACACAGGTTCTTACATAACTAGTAATTAGTTCAAATTTAGGCTATTTAGGTTCTTAAAGAGGTTAGTATTTTCCCAAGAAAAAAATACACTGTAGCTAAAAGTTTTTAGTGGTATTTATCCTATTTCTCATATAAAATCTGCATACCATTGCATTGCAGTTGGACTGATAACGCACCTACGTCTTCAGAGAGGATTCTGAATACTGACTTATATTATTTGCCCAAGTGTACTTTGTATAAATTTCTTTTTATAGATTTTAGAAGATAAGAACCTGTTTGAAATTTTAGGCTTAGCAGGTTCTTGTATAGAGGGGGCCTAACTGGCAAGTTTTAGCCTAACAGGTTCTTAAAAACTAAGTTCCTACTCGCGGGTTTTACTGTATGAGACATTTTTTCTGGACGTCATTGTAGTCCATTAGATCCGCCATAAACATTGGCGGTAATTATCCTGTAGACTTATTATTGGTAGACTGTATAACTTTTTCTTTCCAAAGAATTCTCATATGTTCAGCGTCCATAAGAACCCCTCTTTATCCTTTATACCGCTTAAGTGAACGGAAATAGCCAGAGACACAACTTGATTTTCTATTTGCTATGAAAAACGTTACCAGCATTTGTCTCTGCTTGAGGAATTCGCTTCGTATCCAGAACAAAACTCAGTGAATGCTTAAAGACTTGTTATCCCTTTAGGTCATACACTTCTTTATGTCTTAAGAATCTTTGGAATGATGCCTGTTCACTAAAAACCAGATTGGTCTTCATGAAATTTTTTTGGTTGGATTCCACTACTAACCAGAAAAAATACTAGGAAAGCAGTCTTTCGGCAACTAGGATGGATTTTTAAATGTCTAGTAGAACTTTTAAAGTCCTTGAACTGGAATTTAAAGAACATCCTGTTAATTTTCAGAGTTCGAACAACACTGCTGATCGAAGAGGCAACATTGTTTACTAATCTAACAACATCCAACTCTTCCAAAAACAAGTGTATTAGGCCACTCTTCTTTCCCTTTTCAGACAGCTGTTTGCTGACCTTATCTAACGCACGAATTTTGGATTTCCAACCTTTTAAAAGTTTGTTTGTAACATGTATATAATTATGGAATGATGACTTAGAAATCTGTGAGGTTAATGTGGTCCCAGAAGGAATGCTTAAGACTTTACCGCCTAAGGAGAGGTTACACAGTAAGGTAGTCTTGGCTGAAACAGGCAGCACTATCTCAATACGTAAGTACACTTTTTTGGAATCAAATCATTCTATGTAAATTTTGTAACCTTATTTTCTGTAATTCAAAACGTGAGGTAGAGAAGTAATTTATAGTTCTATTTTTCTAGCTTCAGAAAGTTTTGAAAACAAGTAAAACGAACGTAACAAAGAAACATCGAGGGAGAACGAAAACTCGCTTTGGTAAAAGTATGGCTGCCCAAAGTTTCCTGATAACTACTGCTGGTAAGAGCATAAAGTTTCACTGGCATTGCCAGGAGTTCTATAGGATCTTGGTGCTCATTCCAGTTAACCAATTGTAAGGAGCTACCTACAAAGGGAAGGTAGTCGTTACTTTTAGTTATGTTGCTACTCTCCTTTAGCCCACGCGTTTTGATCATAAAGAGGGGTAAATGCAGATACAATTAGAACGCTATGAAGATAAGGTGTCCATAAAGATTCAAAAAAAACTATGTGGGTGTTAACTTGTAAAAACAACTCTATCTGTTTTGATTTATTAGCTCTCTAAAGGGAAAGCCCCTCTATTTTGTGCTTAACCTGCTTCGCGGGAAACAAACAGCCCTCCAATTTGAAGAGGTCACGTAGCACTGATCTGTCTCTTCAGTTTATTTGCAAACATTTAGCCAACAAACGTTTCTTCTCAAAGAAATAATGGGCAAAGACAAATCGCCTTTTGAAACACATTATCGTATCACTCGTGAATGCCTCCTTTAAGATGCAAAGAAACTCAGAAATTAAACATATGTAATATATTTTGATACCTAGTTTTCCAGGAATTGGACATGTTGAATGCACCCTCTCTTATCGCTTACACTAGCGTTTTTCGTTATGCATCAATCGACGAAGAAGACTATTTTTTTCTCTCTTCTCTATTTGCCTTTTTCCCCATACCTGTTCGCTATAACTCTGACATTAAAGTTTAGTTCATTGAACTTATAACCTAGCTGAATTAATCACAAGCATCAAACTAAGAAGCAGTTCCCCGAAACTTTTCGGTAATAATCTTACAACTATTCCTCTCGTTAAGGGCCCAAGAAACTAGCTTAAAAACAAACACGTGTCTTGTGCAACCCACACCGAGCAAGAACTCCTCATATACACCTGACGGAAAACGAAATATACAACCACTATCAAAGAAATGAGCCGAGAGTTAATAAACGTTCAACTACATATATATGTAAACCCTACCGAAACGCGGACTCAGGGTAATGAAACTGAAGGACAATGAAGATGACTCATGGTAATGAAACATCTAAAGGAAAAAAACCCTCCTTCTTTAAAAACCAACAAAGACAACTAAAGAACACCCCAGTCCCTTCGTACATGCTGATTATCATCGCCAGGAATCAAGAAATAATCCATTCATATTTTAGCTTTGCAAACAATTAAGGTGCTTACCAACCCGATTCAACTCAAACTTTTGTTTAATTGACCAATATAATAAATTAAAATTTCAACCTTAAAAAGATTAAAAAAATAACGTTTCCAAATCCTTCGTCAGAGCAATCCAACCAGCCAACAAACCCGCCTACCGACCGAGGTTTATACCTACCTACTTAGGCCATCACGTCTTGCAAGCAATCTGCCCATCGACTTACCTATCAGGAACTTTACCAAAGTATAACCTACCTGGCTTATCAGTCAACCCCCTTACCACTTGACCTAATGTCACACTACCAGGTTAAAGGTTCAATAAACAACCACTTCAGCAGTTCAATATCGTCCTAGCAACCAGCTTTACACACTTAGCAGACCATCTACGACCAATCAACCAACCTAGTCATCTAATCTAACTGTCAACTAACCAAGACACCTTGAAGTCAAAATATTAACTTTAACGTTTTTTAATTTCTTATATGTGTTATATACTACTTATATGCTATGTAATTATATATGGTAGATATGTTTCTTTCTTATTGCTAACCAACATGGGTTCACCATCCTAAAAATCACTCATTTATCTATCTACCAACCTTTCAATCAAACTGTCTAAAACTATTTACTTTTTTGAATCTGCCAACCATACAAAGAATCCAGCTCACAGTAATTTACTAAAGCAGACCACTTAGGACGCATCAATCAATTCTTCTACCCACCAACTAAGAGCCATTCCATTTAATGTACGCTCCCCCGCCCCCAGTTGACGAAGGACTTTGAAACTTTCTTAACCATTAAAAAAAATGGTCTTTC